GTTCTCTAATCTTGCAAACTCTGATAAGTGTTACTAACATACTTAGAAACGTGCATTCTACAATAACATTTTCTGATAATCAAGTTTCAATTTTGAAATCCAATCAGATGCTTAGAGGATTTTTTGTTAGTTCTTGGATTGACAGTTTTCAAAAAATTTTGTTCCATGTTTGATTATCATTCCTTTTAAGAATTTCTGACCTACATTTTTGAAACATCGATTCATACAGATGTAAATATGTCATTTCTTGAAACTCTTAAATAATTAGTTATGATGAGAATAACTTCACTCAATTTAATAAACCGTATTCTGAACCTGGTGCTGATGAACAAAAAAGCCTGGATTCCGGATTCCTGATTTCGAATTCAGTGTTTTTTTTTTCATTCCGTGTACCTGATTCCGGAATCTGTTTTCCAAGAAAGTTATTTCATTCTGAATTCCATCTCCTGAAAAAAATTCATTCCGTTCATCTCTGCTGATAATTGGAAACCATTGGAAACCAGCTTTTGTTTTTCCCTCTTACAGCAGGTGATATAAAGTCTTCTGTATTTATATCGACTTTTATTAAATGTTTTCCAGCATAAACTGCCCGTTGAATAAGTTTAGATAACTATATCAGTTCGTTCTTTTAATATTAGAAAATAATCCGGTATCCAGATATACGTACTCTTAACCAAAACCGAATATTGGTTTTTTTTGTTTATTGGAGCCAATCCAATTCAGTTATTATTCTACTATTCTAGCAACTCTCCTACTAGGTTCAAAAAGATCAAAATACTTATCACTGGCTGAACAACTTTCGTGGTGTTAAAAATTGATTATTTTGCACGGAATGAAAAAAAAAACACTGAATTCGAAATCAGGAATCCGGAATCCAGGCTTTTTTGTTCATCAGCACCAGGTTCAGAATACGGTTTATTAAATTGAGTGAAGTTATTCTCATCATAACTAATTATTTAAGAGTTTCAAGAAATGACATATTTACATCTGTATGAATCGATGTTTCAAAAATGTAGGTCAGAAATTCTTAAAAGGAATGATAATCAAACATGGAACAAAATTTTTTGAAAACTGTCAATCCAAGAACTAACAAAAAATCCTCTAAGCATCTGATTGGATTTCAAAATTGAAACTTGATTATCAGAAAATGTTATTGTAGAATGCACGTTTCTAAGTATGTTAGTAACACTTATCAGAGTTTGCAAGATTAGAGAACCTCGAAATACACACCTGAGTTTCTTAACCTCTTTCATAATGATGTAATAATAGTTATTTTGATTTGCCAGGGGTTTCCCGATGGTTATAAAATCGAGGTTTTCTGAACCACCTGTTTTGAAAAACGAAGAAAAAAAAACGATAGCTGTGATCAAGTTGAAGTTATTAGTTTATTAGTTGATATTCTGTTTCAATCCAATACAGCTACTTGGAATTTTGGTAATCTGATCTTTCTTGAAATCTTGGAATTGATAATTATGGTACAACGAAACATGTTTAACATTTTTCAGACCGCGTTAGATGATAGTACTGTGGATGGCATAACGACAACTGCTCGATTCTGAATTTGAGAAGTAATAGGTCTGGAATGTTATAGCTCTAAAAAGTACCCGTGTGAATCTGTTTGATATGAATCGTGGAATGAAAAGGCGCCAAAATAATTGTCTGAATTTCGAAGACAGTGCACTGTATATAATGAAACTGGTTGTAGTGTTGAAGAATGCTAAAAGATTCATAAATATTGAAAGATGTTGGTAATAGCTGAAAATCAGAACGTTTGATTTTGGAGTTTAGAAAAGTGCATACTTTATGTAATCGTTGATGGATAGTCCACCCAGAATGCTGAAAAATCCTTGAGGAAACTCGGTAACTACAAACACAACAAGTAGGAATTGAATAAAGCGAGAAGAACGATCAATTTGAGCACTGAATTTTTTGAAAATCTTAAAATCTCCTTTTCCATCACATACTCTTTGTTTCTCTGATTGTGAGCAATACTGTTGGACTTTTTTTGAGCTTCTTTGATCTGTAATAGTATCAATATTGATAGAATCATCATGACGATGCAAGGGAGTATCTGAATGTTGTTTTCATTTACCAAATAAACAAAAACTGAAACAAGACCTTGAAAAGTGAGCCGCTAGTTATAAGAGCGAGTTTCAAAAACAAGCATTGGTTTTTTAACGCAAATTCCGAAATATCTAGTAATACGATTCCACTGCTATACTCCCTGAAACTAGGGTATTCTGGATTTTACCTTGGAAATTGACATGACTTACTCTTTGACCTCATTTAGGAATAAAATAAAAGAAGCGATAATAAACACAGGAAAACATAGAATGAGAGCTACTCGAATTGAATACCTCGGCGATTGCCAAGTATCACTAAATCAAGAAATCACCCACACAATATTCAAACAAGCCTTACCGATTTTTATTAGGTGAACTGAGACTTACGACCCTACAAAATGCTAAACCGGCTGCTAGATAGAGAGAGGCGGCATGAAAAGCAACTTGGAAATAATCAACAATAATTTGTGCATAGGCGGTTTGATAAGAGGAATATAAACTGAAATAGTAATTCTTTAAAAACATGTTTTTGACCATCACCTCACTCTGAATATCTTCTCAAAAACTGCTGGCATAATCCTGAAGATGCACATCCTAGATCACAAACTGCTATCAGCATCATGGTTACATTTATTCCAGAACTTCTCATTTCTTTATTTGATAACACAGTCACAATTAAAATATTTGCGAAAAAGGCAAACAAAACTACTGAAGTGAGCAGATAATAATGATATGGGCGGTATACACTGGAATTTTAAACATGATTGGAATTAGAGAAGAAATCGTACCTGACTACAGCTCCTATCGAACTTGTAATAAACCCATTAATAGATTCCTCGGTTCCAGGTTCAGGAAATTGGTTCAAAAACTGAGTGCAGTGGTATTGGGACGCCATGAAAGTAAAATTTTCTTGACCTAGGTTTCTTGATTAAAACTAAGGGGAGGGGTAGGGAGAAGCGGAGGTGTTATATACGGGAGCAATACCCAGAACTTTTGCACGTTCGGAATTTCTGAAGAATGATAAACAAACTTACTGACCTCAATCGAACAAGGAAATCTTCCGGGTGGTGTGATTAGGTATTCTAATACCGATGTCGTAACATTAGAAATATCAGCTGTTAGTTTTTATTTATTTTCAAGCGTATTAATTGACACCGCGTTTATTTCCAAATTTGGTATCAGAAAAAAACCTTTTAGTTCCGTATAGTTTATGAATCTTTTGAAATTATGAATCTGTTACTGCGTATAAGATGACCTTCATTTTAATAATTATTTATCAAGCCTAAAATATCAATTTGATGACTGAACAAATTTTAACAGTTCATAATCAATCAAACTGTTCTCGACGAATGAGCAATCGATTGCACTACCACAGTTGTTCGTTTCTGAAAATTGAATTTTCTAGGATATGGACGATCGAAGACTCTTACCAGATATATTTTCTCCGTAACATATCTAGGCAAGAACATTTGAGTGAACAACTTTCTGAATTTTCCAGATAACGCACTGTAAATTATAAAACTGGTAGTAGTGTTCAAAAACGCCAAAATGTTCATAAAAATTGATAATTTTGAAAATAGCTGAAAAAAACTGGAATAGGATTTCAGGATCTTCAATGACTCACTTTATGTAGTCTATAATTGCAAAACCGCCGAGGATGCTGAAAGCTCCTTGCGGTGACTCAGTTATAAGAAAAACAACTAGTACGAATTGGATGAATCGTGAAGATCGATCTATCTTTTTTCTGTAAAGTTTAGTTTATCTAATCATTTCTTTTCAGACTTTATAACCTTTTGTTCTCTCTATTATGAGCTGCAACATTGGAACTTTGCTTTCCTTCGTCTATTTGTTGTAAAAGAAATACGGAGAAGAATAACATTGTTATGCAGGGCAGGATCTGAATTTTGAATTTCGAAATTATGTACATCCAGTTGTTTGATGAGGATTACCTTGAAAAGAAATCCACTGGCAACTAAAGAACACTTCATGAACAAACAAGCACTTGCCAGGGATAAATCGGAAACATCCAGATAAATTCCATCTTCTTCCGTTCTGAAAATGATGATTAATGATAGTAACAGTACTCTCCTGAACTTACTCTTTTGCGGCGTTTATGAAAATCACAAAAGTAGCAACTACGAAAACTGGAGAGCACAAAGCACAAGCAACACGCAACGCATAATTTGGGCTTTGCCATAGATCTCTGCAACCATTGTAAAGTTCTTTTGAACTTTAAAAAATCACCCGCCGATTTTTATTGGCAAAATTCAAAGACATCACTCTACAAAAAGCCATTCCAACTGCAAGATATAAGGATGAAGCATGAAATGCAACTGCTAAATAATCTACAGCAATCTGACTGTTTGCAGTGAGATAAGATGAGTAATTGCTGAATTTTTTATTTTAGGGGTCCATAGCCTATGGAGAATAGGGGTTAGAAAATTAAACTTACTCTGAATAATTCCTCAGATATAATTGTGCTAGTCCTGATACGGAGCATCCAAAATCACAAACTGCTATCAACAGCTTGGTGACATTGACACCAAAACGTCTCATATCCTTATGAGATAGAACGATAACAATTAGAATATTGGCAAAAAATGAAAAAATGACAATGGAAGTTAGGAGATAGTAATGATAGGGGCGATAAGCTCTGAAACAAATAATCGGGTGTTACAGAACGATTTGGAACTTACTTGACAGCCGAAGTAATGAGCCAGGGAACAGTACTATTCCCAGCTTCATCAGCCATCTTGCGAAAGCATTCTAAAATATACCGAATGGTCACAAGAGATTGAATGTACTCTTCTTTTGACATGAATTTACGATTTGGATTTATCAAGTTTTTGAGGGCGAGAAGATTTGCTTCCGAAGATCGGGAAGGATAGTTTTATTGGAAAGTTAATTATAGGAAAATTCAAGGGCGCAAAGAAATGAGAGGTTTGAGAGAAATGGTTTGGGATCCATGAGGTGTTAGTGGCAACGGAGCACGTATAGAATGTTAATTTATTATGCCAGTTATGTTGTTTTTCAATAACTGTTACATGACTCTCTTATCAGATATTATTGCGTTATTCAAATATGCAGCTCCATAAAAAATAAGATACATTTTTACAATTAGAAATCATGGTTTTGAAACATAAAATTCACAGATGGATCGAAACAATATTCAGACACATATTCAGGACATGTAAAACCGTATTGATCCCATTGTCTGTTTTATTATCAGTTCATTTTTGTACAAGAACTAAAAAAAAGATTATGGAATAAATGTTACAGAATTAAGTTCTAATCAATTGAGATGTATGTTGAACCGTCACCGTAGATTGGTTCTGAAACTCATATGTAAAATTACCTCTGAATTTATTCATCAGTATTAATTACCAAACGTAGCTTCTCTAGAATACATTTTGGTAGAAATATATCAGCGAATAATTTTCGAAATTTTGCAGATAAAATACTGTAGATTATGAAACAAGTCGTTGTGTTCAAGGAAGCAAGGATGTTGTTGAAGATCACTAATTTTTGTATATAGCTAAAAAGGTATATTTCGGGTGAATAAAATTGTGTTGACTGACTTTATATAATCTACAACAAAACAACTTGCAATCAAGTTAAAAATGCCCAATGGTGTTTCTGTTATCAAAAAAAAAAAAAAAAAAAGAACTTTGAGGAGCGTTCAATTTTGTTTCTGAAAGTTTTCTTCATAAAACCGCGTATCACAAAAAAATTACTGTTTGTCGCTTCGGCTACGAGACGTATTCTCTTTCCCTTATTACGTTTGCGAAAAGCATCAAGCTACTCAGAAGTCAATGGCAATCTCCAAAATATGCAGTACGTATGGCTTTAGGGCTGTGCTCACCGATAGTTGTTTCAGCATCAAGTGTCTTGTTCATGAATTCAGTTCAAGAGTGAGTCATGATTCTGGTCACAATTCTTTCGATAACTTTTACAGAGATGAAGAAGAAGGTGTCCATTTACAAATATCCGATCTCTCACTTGCAAACGGATGTCTCTATATGAAGCTGATCCTTTTGAACGGTGGCATATATCTGAAGGTGATGCTCGATTCACAGATATTTTAAAATGAGAGTTTTCAATTTCAGTTAGTTCCATGCTTTTCTATGTTGATATTGTCTTTAATATTGCTGAAACAGATGGAAGAAGGGAAAGAGAATACGTCTCGTAGCCGAAGCGACAAACAGTAATTTTTTTGTGATACGCGGTTTTATGAAGAAAACTTTCAGAAACAAAATTGAACGCTCCTCAAAGTTCATTCAGGTGGTGCTTGTTGTGTTTTTGATAACAGAAACACCATTGGGCATTTTTAACTTGATTGCAAGTTGTTTTGTTGTAGATTATATAAAGTCAGTCAACACAATTTTATTCACCCGAAATATACCTTTTTAGCTATATACAAAAATTAGTGATCTTCAACAACATCCTTGCTTCCTTGAACACAACGACTTGTTTCATAATCTACAGTATTTTATCTGCAAAATTTCGAAAATTATTCGCTGATATATTTCTACCAAAATGTATTCTAGAGAAGCTACGTTTGGTAATTAATACTGATGAATAAATTCAGAGGTAATTTTACATATGAGTTTCAGAACCAATCTACGGTGACGGTTCAACATACATCTCAATTGATTAGAACTTAATTCTGTAACATTTATTCCATAATCTTTTTTTTAGTTCTTGTACAAAAATGAACTGATAATAAAACAGACAATGGGATCAATACGGTTTTACATGTCCTGAATATGTGTCTGAATATTGTTTCGATCCATCTGTGAATTTTATGTTTCAAAACCATGATTTCTAATTGTAAAAATGTATCTTATTTTTTATGGAGCTGCATATTTGAATAACGCAATAATATCTGATAAGAGAGTCATGTAACAGTTATTGAAAAACAACATAACTGGCATAATAAATTAACATTCTATACGTGCTCCGTTGCCACTAACACCTCATGGATCCCAAACCATTTCTCTCAAACCTCTCATTTCTTTGCGCCCTTGAATTTTCCTATAATTAACTTTCCAATAAAACTATCCTTCCCGATCTTCGGAAGCAAATCTTCTCGCCCTCAAAAACTTGATAAATCCAAATCGTAAATTCATGTCAAAAGAAGAGTACATTCAATCTCTTGTGACCATTCGGGAAGTAAATCTTTGCAAGATCTTTACGAGGCGCTCGTACCAATTCAACTCGTAAACATCCTCGATTTGTTGTTTTTTCGACGCCCGCAAAGACAGCGATTTCACGGGCCACACAACACACATCTAGGCGCTTTACTTATTTTGAGAAAACTTGAAATTTTCTCTTCTTGTCACGAAGATTGATTGGACTTCCATTACAACAAGTCTGCATTTATTCCATCAGGAGTCTTTTATCTCAAAATTTCAGAACTTTTTATTTAAAAAATATTCTAAGCTTTCATGGGGAGGGGGAGACAAAAATAGGACTTCAGAATAAATGGAGATAAATTGACATATATTTTTCTATGCGTTATACCTGACTATGAGTTACCACGAGAACAATAAATTGTTCGGTTGCGGAAGAGACTAGTTAGTTGCCTTTATTTTCTCCTTCTCTCAATCTTCTTCCTCTTCTTCCCGAGACCCGGCTACCACATATTCGACCAGCTACGCGCATTTTCTCTATGTCTCCATCCGTTCCTTTTTCTCTTCTCACATTGAACATTACAAGAGAATCTGAAGAGATAGGGACATCTGAAGAGACGTAGGCGGTAGAAGAGTGCACACACACTAACCCGCCAATGACTAACAATACCAATGTGAAATACAACTTTCCGGATAACTTTTGCCCTATTTCTTAGCTTTTTGGTCTTGAAGAATATACCATGTGATGCATATTAAAAAAGTCATATTTTCTTTTTCTATTCTTCCCTTTCACAACGACCTCTTTCCCAAAGCATTTCACAATTTTTTATTGGGGAAAAGGAAAAGCTTTCGTCGTATTCACTCACCAACGTTACTGTCTGTTTATTTCAACATTTTGCTGATTCACTTTTAATGATTCACAGTTTTTTTGTCTTTTATGTTTAGAATACGTTTTCTTTAGTTTTCAGAATTATTTGCTCAAAATTTGCATGTTTTTTTTGTATCAAAAATATTTCTTCTGGAAAGATCAAGTTTTGTCCAGAAATTTTCAAATTTTCACAAAATTCCATCTAAAAATAGCTGCTCAATAAATTAAGTTTCCAAAACTTAAGTACAACCCAATCAATATCCTGTGTTCCTCTATTCTAGAGACTAGACGGATACCATGTCACCCGTTTTACTACATTCCTAACTTTCCTTCCTCATTAATTCCTCCCACTTTCAGTAGTTAAATATAACAATAACATCGGGTAGATCAAACGATCGTTGCAGAAGAAGCAATCTTCTTTCTTCTTCTTCTTCTTCTTCTTCTCTTTTCCACTCATGTCCAGTTCTCGTGGGAAATTGCACCCGATTGTCCTTTTTTTACAAGGAGATCATTCTACGATATTTTCCCAAATCGTGTGAAAGCTCTTCGTACAAAATCCAGCTTGTCAACTAGTCGTTGTCTTTCCATTCGTCAAAACAATTTAAAAAACAAAACGGACACCTTCTGCTATATTTTGCTCTCCGAGACAACTGTCGTCGGACTGGTCACAACTTTCTCTTTTAGTTCCCATTTCCACCCTGACACTACTCAATGTTCTCTATTTTTTGTCTGTTGTAGTTTACAGAGTGAACCTACAGATTTTTATTTAGTCGGTGAGACCTGTAACAGTCTTATGCAAATAATACTACCCCTTTTCTACTTTTCTTTCTCTCTCTATTCATCATCCAAAAATTTATTTTCCAATGCAGTTCTCATCGTTCCGTTTCCGTTTCATTCACACACCATCTCGGTTCTTTACGAAATTAGCTGTGTTTTTCTCGTGCATGAAAGATTCTCTTTGTTTTCTGAGTCAGTCATGTATTACCACCACCATATGGCTGTTTCGAAAATCATACTTTTTCCTTCTCATCGTTTTCTTTTCTGTTCTTTTCTATTCTTAATTTCCTAGAGAATCAGATTTATTCACTTTAAGCGAGTCGGTACATCTAGAACTTTTAAAAGCAAAACTGGAAATTTTCAGAGAACACTTAAATTGGAAGCAGAATTATCTTTTGTGATGCACGGGAAATGTTGTAAAATAAGATAAAAGAGGTTTCATTCAAATGAGGTTAGGAGATAAAAAATACAGAAAAACGGTTATTACAAAAATTTTTAAAAATCATGCAACTTCAATTCATTTTTGAATCGTTAAATATAACTAGCGTCTGCTGAAAAAGCCAAAAAAAATCATATATTAATTTTAGTCCTGGTACTGTATTTGGAGAAGATGAAATTCGGTAGACATTATGATAAATACTTGTTATTTAAGAAGTTGCGAGAAGTGAGATTTTAGTCAATCTAGAAGTTAGGATTTATAGAAGAGTGTACCGTAAAACCTGTAATAGAAGGTCACCCTATAAATTTACTTTGAGCTTATATATCTCGGTTCCTGTTACAGATATCAAAAATTGGTCAAATGGCAAAATATTGCCGATATTATGATTAACATTTTGTCAGTTGATCATTTTTTGATATCTTTCATAGTAACCAATATATATGAGCTCAAATGCAAGTACAGTGTGGTCTTCTATTAGAGTGTTTACGGTATATACCTAATTTTGGATTGAAACATTTTGGATTGAAAAATGCATAGTTGTATAGGAACCATTAGCGAAATATATTGAAGAGTTTCAGAGCGTCAAAGCTTACTTTTAATATTTTCTCAGGAGTCTGTCAAGATCCTGTTGTGTATGATATTCGATCGTAAGGATCAGCGTGTTCGTTGGAGTAGAATACCGTGGTTTAGCCACCGTCTCAACGTTCATTAGGTTGTCGTCCTTTTTTGGTCTAAATTTTAAAATATTTTTACATTCACCATAACCTCTTCTATGACTTACAATACCCTGATAGTGTCCCTCAATGGATTGAAAGCGACCATTGATCCGTGATCTGTTGGCATCAAATTTACCAGCTCACGAACTGTAGTGATGGGTCTTCGACCCCTCTTTCCGTTCATATTTTTGCAAATTGCTTTGTAGTTCCGACGAGTTTTCTTTTCTCTGTAATAGAGATTCATATCATTGCCATAATTGCTCTGATTCTTACTGTATTGGGTCAACTGGTTTTCCCTGAGCCAGTTCCTTTGCCCTCCAGTCGGCCGCTTCTTGGATATTCCTCTCATTTTCGTTATGCCTAAAAAAAGAAAGAAACTCAATGAAAATAAAAATTTAATGCACCTCACCTTTCAGCGGCCATATTTTTGATCATTGTCTGAACGGGTTTCTCCGGATACAGACCTCTAGGACGATAGGATCGTTTTCGATATACACGTTTCACCCTGGAATAGGTACTATGAAAACGTATCCAGAAGAATTGACATAGGATGATTTTTAAAACTCCAGCTAGTTTTTTTTTCTACAATCTTCTAGACCCAGCAGTGTAGTCCCTAACTTACGTCTTATTCCTTGGGACTGGGGCGTCCATCTCTCCAGTAGCCTCGCTTGAAATCAATCAAAAGCCTCTAATCAGTACCTGAGGTGAAGTTGTATGAACTAGACGGAAACGTTCTCGAAAAGGATAGGATCCAAAAAAATGCGTAATCCACGAAAAGAGTATAAGAGTGGAATGGCGTCCTCGATGTCCTCTTGCCACTGCTCCGTCTTTTTCTTGTTCCACCCACTTCTCTAGCATTCTAGCGCCCACTAAGGACAACAACAACACTCTGCGGTGCTCTCTTTCTTTTCTTCATCATTATTCTAAGGAAAGAGATGAGGAGGTCGGAGCGTCAGACGCCACCGAAGAGAAAAGGAGAACAGCTCGGATGGAGGAAGAAGAGTAGAAGGTGCCGGAATGGCCTCACCGCCATCCATCGAGCCGTCGGGACCGCTTCACTGTCTTCCGCGCCTACTAACTGTGACTTACAATTGTCTGCGTCTAGGTCTACCGTTGTCTCGGTATGCTCTCCGCCATGATGCTTCTCGATCTGTGTCTTCGCACTTTCAATATTCTTGATTCCGTATGTTGGCGGAGAACCTCCAAAAAAAGGAAAAAAAGGGAAAAAGGTTTTTGAGCGCAGAAAATAGAGTTTTTGTATGTTTCTCTGTGTCATTAGACGGATTGTGCACATCGATCGCATCCTAGTTGGGTTTGGAAAAGTGGGAGCACAGACACATATACACATCAACTGCTCCGAAGATGAATACAAAGAGTTCTTGCGAGAAAATGAAAAATCGAGGGTGCAAAGTTGATGGATATGGTTATTCCATCCTGCTTGGCGACTTGAAGAGAAAGCATCGATGAGAGGATTACGTCTTCATTGGAGGGAAATTGATGAATACTGTAGCTTCGATGAGTTCGGAAATTTGAACTCGCGCCAATTGAAGAGAACTCTTTACAGGGTCCCTGCGGGAGATGCGCAAAATTTGACGACAAACAAAATACGGTATTTTTTCTGAGCGGGGAAAATGAGTCAAGTTAAATCGTTAAACTCGAGAATGTGAACCGAGCAATTCAAATAATTAAATGGAGGCTTAATTACTTTGATTTCCAGATTCTTATCTTTCTTGTTCTATGTCTCTAAACCCTTCTAAACCGATGTTTCTCATATGACTTTTACAGTTTATTGGTCAACTGAATCTTTCGTGTATTTTTCTTGAAATTCCTTAACAAAGACGAGTAGGCGTGAGACCAGGAATAATCTAATATGATTTTAAAATCGCCTACTGATTTTTTTTTTTGACTCACTCTTCCTGATCAGCTGTTCGTTATTTTGTGGTTTTGCTGTTTTTCCGTTCGGTTATTTCGAAAATTTTCCATTATTTCGAAACGGTCATATTATTCTTGTCCGGCGCCGATGAACCATGTGGCTGAAAATTTATTTGAAAGCGTATTGTCGTTCTTGAATCGAAAACAGTGTTTTACAATAAATTTCATGCGCCTTTGATACAGTACTTCGGAATTATTTTATTTCTGTCCATTCCTTTAAGCTTCTTGCTTTTTCCTTCTATTTTCTTCCGATTTCCATGAATAATCATCTAAATTTCTTAATAAAGTAGAGAAAGCAGCTGAAAATCGGTCAAAGTAAATTAATTCCGAAGTACTGTATTAAAGGCGCATAAATTTTGTAGCTGTTCTCGCGTTAGTACTGATGATGCACCTTTGAATGCATTTTTCGGTCGCAAGGCTCATCGCCGACTGACAATAATGATACTTTCTTTCTTATACTTTTTCCGATTGATATTCACCCGCAAACTTTTTAAAAGATATTTTTCAGGGGTAATGAGTGCCGATGTGATCAAAAGATCGAACCCGGCGGATGATTATGAGCTGCTTCAGCGTGTCGGTTCAGGAACTTATGGTGAAGTTTATAAAGCTCGAGACATTCGAAGCGACACGCTGGCAGCTGTAAAAGTTGTCAAACTGGAAGCCGGAGACAATTTCGCTGTCATCCAACAAGAAATAATGGTTATTCGAGAATGCTCACATCCAAATATCATCGCTTATTTCGGAAGTTATATTAGAAGGTAGGTCGATTCCTATTGATGCTAACAGTTGATGAAACAACTCTTCAGAGATCGTTTGTGGATTGTGATGGAGTACTGTGGAGGAGGAAGTCTTCAAGATATTTATCACTGTGAGTTTTTATTACAAAACGCTTCCCTTTTGAAAAGCTTTCGAAACGAATAAACTTTCAGTAACCGGACCTCTATCAGAACTCCAGATTGCTTTCGTTTGTCGAGAGACTCTTCGTGGACTCAATTATCTTCATAATATGGGAAAAGTAAGTTTTAGATCAGTTTCCATAGTGATAAACATTCGTTTTAGATTCATCGAGATATCAAAGGAGCCAACATTCTTCTTTCTTCTAACGGAGATGTGAAGTTGGCAGATTTTGGAGTAGCTGCTCAAATCACTGCAACAATCGGAAAAAGAAAATCGTTCATTGGCACTCCGTATTGGATGGCTCCAGAAGTTGCATGTGTTGAAAAACGAGGTGGATACGGAATGCTCTGCGACGTTTGGGCAACCGGGATCACGGCGATCGAGCTAGGAGAATGTCAGCCACCTCTTTTTGATCTTCACCCGATGCAAGTTCTGTATTTGATGACAAAAAGTGGATACAAGCCCCCGCATCTCAAAGACAAACATCGTTGGTCTCCCCTCTTCCATGATTTCGTTCGTCAGTGTCTCACAAAAAATCCCAAGAAGAGACCATCACCCGAAAAGCTGCTCACCAGTCACCCGTTTGTACTTGGCTCCCTTTCTGCCAGAATGACAAGAGATTTGTTGGATAAAGTGAATGGAGCACCGTCTGATGTGTATGATCGTATGTCCAAGACGGTGGATGATTTGACTGAAGAAGAATCGGATATGGACGATGCTCCACCACTTCTCACACCCGATGCTGCTCCAATCAAAATAGGACTTCCTGCTCATTTGAATGGCTTGAGACTTGATGCAAAGTGTTTGGAGCAGTTAACGTCGTCTCCTCACTCGACATCGTCAGAGACTGATCGCAAAACTCCAACTGCAACTCCGCGAGGGCTGAATAGAGGTTACCATTCAGAAAGAACACTTCCGGCTAAAGAAATGCAATCCCTTCCGGACGTTATCGGAGGAGACGCGCTGCTCCATTGTGCATCTGGAAATGGAGTTATCCATGACGATGATGAAACTATCAGAGCACCAAGAGCTCCACCAAGGACGTTGAGAGCTGCTCAGAAGGCTGCAGCTTCTGGATCTGAAAATCGCTTCAGTTCGACTTCTATTGCATCTACTCCAAGTGAAGATAGTATGTCGACGTTTTTTGGAATGCCGATTATTCCAAAAGTACCAATGGGAGCTTGTTTTTCGAAGATTATGGATGGAACTGATTTGAAAATCAATTGTGCAGCATCATGGGTTCATCCACTGACTGGTGCTCACCTCCTACTTTTCGGTACGGAGCAAGGAATTTACTCATTCGACACAAACTGTTTACCAGATGGAAACCTCACGAAAGTAAGGCGATCTGTTGTTTTGATTAGATTTTAATATTTTTGATTCCAGATTCATCACCGTCGTTGCTCCTGGATGTTCGTCTACTCGGATCGACTCACCGCCATTCAAGGAAACACTCCGTATCTCTATCGACATGATTTGATTGCTCTTACGCAAAAGAATCTCACTCTGAAAATGAGCAAAAATCTTAACAAGATTCCTGAGAAATATGTTCCGAAACGGCTAGCGATCACTGTTCGAATGCCGGAGACACGGGGAGCTCTTCAGTGCACAGTGAAACAAGGAGAGGGAGCCCAATCAAGTTCTTTATTCCTGTGTTGTGCTGTTCCAAAAACTGTTCATTTGTTCCAATGGTACAAACCGATGAATCAGTTTGTGTTGGTTAGAAGTGAACCACTCCGAGAAGACATTCGATTTCCCATCCGCCCGTTTGCACTGGTCAATTCCCGTGCGTCAGACTTTCCAGAACTATGCATTGGTGTAGGTCGAATGTCCGGAGCATCCGAGTTCCAATTCAATATGGTTAATTTCTGCTCATCGACTAGAAACTCAGAAGTCAGCGATGGATACAACTCTTCATTTGGTAGTTTGGCGGAAGACGAGATGCTCGAAGTTGGGAACATGCATCAAATCGATAGAAATACTCTCTGCTTTTCATTCCGTAACAAAGTGGTCATGACAGATCTTGAAGGATTCGAACGCCCGAAACCTTCTATTTTCACCTTCAATTTCCACATTGAATACCTTCATGTCGTCGATGAAACGATTCTTGCTTTCCACGCAAATGGAGTGCAAGGAAGAGATTTGAAGACGAATTTAAACACTCAAGATCTATGTGATGTATCTCGTTTATATCGTGTCATTGGTGACGATAGGTAAATAAGCCTTTTTCACTTCTCAACATGAGTCAACATGAGTTTCTCCCTAATTTTCAGAGTAATCATCCTTCGATCTCAGCTCATGACCGCCCGAAACGCTGGTGACACTCTCGATATCAGTCTACTCATGGGACACTCTGACACTCCCACTCTCTAATAATTTAACAGATTCTAGTCGCCGGCCACTCATATTTAAGTGCACACGAAGTATTCAACTAACCAATTGCTCCCGGGTTCTTCACTCATGTATTAGCATTCTTCTCTGCCTCCATTTGATTCTAGTTCATCTTGTCTGCATAATTCGAGTCAATCGCCAAAAAAAAGTCAACATCATTTCCTGTACTATACCGTCAATTAGATGATGATCTCCCTGCTCCTTTTTTCTCTCGTTTCTTCCTTTAAAAATTTGCCTTAATCTATTTTCAAAGCACCCAAAAAAGGCCCTACGTTTCTCTCGTTTTGCATCATTCTCATTCACTTCACTTTTGTTATACAGCGAGCTTTTTTTTTGTTCTTTCACAAAATTCGTTTCATGCATCCTTTTTTTGTGAATATTAGTATAAACCATGTTCAATATTTATTCGCAATCAAAAGATGACTTTGACTGGGTAAACGGAAAGAATAAAAAGAGTGAAAATGAAGGAACAGCATGCGAAGTAAATGAGGAAACCGGTTGGACGCATTGTAGTCAGAATTCGAAAAGTTTAAAATAGTTGTTTGACAGCCACAGTAATCCTATCACTCTGTAGCTAGGCTGGGGATATGTCTTCCATGTGTAACCTTTCCAGTTGAACTTGGGGATTTCTTCGGGCGATTGGCAGAAGTTTTAGACTGAAATACACTATTCAGACTGGGTCTGAAAGACCAAACTCACTTTGACTTTTGCCATTTTGGAATATTTAGCTGTGGATGTATTTGTCAGAACAAAAATAACGTGGAAATGAAAATACATTTTTTTACAGGCAAGTTATATGTTACAAAGGAGAAGCCAACGAATCTAGGTGGAAAGCGCTATGATGGGTCAACTGAAGAGAAGTGAAAGGAAAAACACCAAAATTTGATTAAGAGTGTCATTATTCTACAGTATCGTGTTAGATTTCAGTTGTATTTAACAATTATGCAATAAATTAATCGGGGAAAATGAACAGGAACGAAGTGATCACTTCCATTTAATAGACGGATTGTTGAGTGCTGCGACAGCTTTGAATGATTCTACCGAGTTTGGTTTTAACGATTTCGCATAAGAAGCCAACGACACTCTGTCTCCTTTTTGTGTCATACACTCGATCACCATTTCAGGAGCATCGAAGAGCAGAGCCAAGCGGAGACGTTCTTGTGCATCACTCTCGCCTTTTAGGATTCGATATATGAACTGAAAAATGTATTTAATTATAGAAGCACTGTTTGACAACAAACATCTGTTGGCGGAGAAGGATGAGATCGGCGAATAATAGTTAGCAAGTTGTGATTGTTTATGGAGACACCCCACTTGCTCGTTGTTTTCTTTCCTTTGAACACACCTGAAATCACGAAACTATTTTTTTTCCTTCAATTCTAGTTACTTTTCGCTGCACTGAATGTCATCGTTATCGTTTTGGGCTGAAGTAACTTGTCTATGTCCGGCCATCGACTTTGCCGAGTGAGCGCGGAAACGATGGTTTGCATGGCAAGACGATCGTTGAACCGGATCAATGTTTGTACTGAAGGGAGTGAAGCAGATGATGTTGAAGCATCGTCAAAATGATACATGACTGAGTAGTACAGAGTGGATAAAGCAGGTAATCCGATCAGAGTGCATGTTTTTGGGAACTTTCTAAAATGTTCTCCTTTTCCACCAGCATCCATTTTCTAAATATGGTTTTTGATGGCTTGAATTTAATATGAACCACACCTCCATTTGCAACTGAATCTCATAGTTTCTCATTAACGTTTCCACTTGTCTCGCTTCAAATTTCATCTCAGGAATCGAAAAACTTCCATGTAACATTGTTCTCAACAGTGGGACTCGCTTATCCGGATTCTTTTTGTATTTTCTGGTGGATTCAAACTCAATGACTGATGCGTGTTGATACTGACCGACGCCTCTGAAAAACGAAAAAATACAAAAAAGCTAAATGGATCAGAAAATAAACCTCAAAAACTTGTTCATCTTTTCCCATTCGCCGGTAATTTGAAGATGTCGCGTATACACTCTACATGCACTTTTTTGCTCATCCATCACTTTGAAAAATATGTTTTCTTTCAGAGTTCTCTCCAAGAATATTATGATCTGAAATCGATATAATTAAAATATGAAATCTACTTTGAGTCTTACTTTGAATATAGTATTAGTGTCATGAGACGCCACTGCTTGTTTCAGGAGCAGAGTTTTATCACGAAGAGATCTGTAGCCATCGAGAGGAACGACATGCCCTTGTAACATTCGTTTGATGCTGGCTTCAATGGTTAATGGTTGGAAGCGCTCGTGGCGTAGAACCTGAATAATTAGAACATTTATAATGAAAAACTATGAACTAAACAACCTCATGCTGATCTTTCAACTTCCGATGTTCCTGCCTCAAACGATTGTAGTCCAAATCGAGCCTCTGTGCTTCACTGGGCAAACTACTGGCACTTGCTTCAGACACAACTGACGGGGCTGACTGCATGATTGGAGCTGCTTTCACACTGTCCGAAAACTTCATGTTCAGAAAATCATCGACGATTTTTCCAGAGGCTCTCGGCGAGGTACTGAAATTAGTTCGCTTGTTGGCATCAGTAAACAGCAAAGCACTAACTCTGTCAAACGAATATTAGCTTTGTCAGAAGCGGCTGCTGCTCGGACGTCAACTTTCGGAGGGGCTCCATTTGCAGGAGTTGGTGATGGGTTTAGTGGAGGAACATAGGGTTTCGGCGTTTCCTCTCCACCAAACAAGTTGTCGACTGCTGCCCGAGCTTGAAGCTTCAATTTACGTGTTATACACATGGATTTTTATTGCAGTTAACAGAATATTTCCGTGCACATGGCAGCTAACCGAAGCCGCAGATTTTTCCAGATTAAATGTTTTCACGCTAATTAAAAAAACACACTCACCTGCTTTGATTGCAAATCATCGAAGAGCCCCGACGAATTTGAGTCGGATTCGTTCCAGTAACTATCTTCTGGAAGCTCGAACGTGAATTTTCGTCGCAAAGCCATTTTACAACATCTTACAAAGTATCTGAAACAGGAAAATGTTCAGAACCTGTTGAGAAATCGAGAAAAAAACAATGTTTTCTCAAGAGCGCAAAAAAGACAGAAAAGTTATTGCTGTGCGCACTTGTTGCAAAACCCCCATGCGGCGCTTGCATGGGCGGAGTTGAGAATGAAGCGCGAGTTTGAACTGAGTTTTTGTTAGCTTTGGCCTAAAAGATGCACAGTTTTTGGAGCTTCTACTCAACTGAGAGCTCAGCTTAACTGCTCATCGAGGTCTTCTACTCACTGTTCACAAGTTCTTTCCCGAAATTCTAGCTAGGTAAACGTCTATCAGCCGTTTCTAACTGTCTTTTTTCTTGATCTACAATTTTGATCTCGTGCTCCTATAGTGACCGCCTTTCAACTGGTTGGTCCTAACATTCCCGCGAAACATAGGCTTTCACTTCTTTCCTTTGTCATTCCAGTTTCATTTCGCTTTTGATCCTTCTTTTGAATTCTTACAATAGTGATCGTTCAGCTTCTCATTGTCAGTATTCCTTTTTCCGTCATTCTTTTCTGCGATTTTCCCATTTCCTTCGCATAATCCGTTGCTTATCATTCAAGCTACATGTTTCAGAATGCAAAACACGCAGCCACATACTAACTTCGGATCTGGAGCCCCAGACCTGTATGTTGCTGTTCAAGTTTCTAGTTTCACATTGTTTTTTCAGATCACAATTCATGAACAACATGAGTCAAGCCAACTCAAAAGAGCCAGTATTCACAATGCCAATATCGGTCAAACCGAAAACCCGCGAACCGGCTTCTTTCACAGACAACAGGTATGACATCCGTGATCGACAGAAATTCATTATCACTGTTTTTCAGAATATATGTTAGCAATATCCCCTTCTCATTCCGTGAGCAAGACTTGGCCGCAATGTTCTTTGCGTAAGTAATGAATTTAGTGAGCTATAATCTTCATGGTTATGTTTCAGATATGGACGAGTTCTGAGCGTGGAGATCGTAACCAATGATCGTGGATCAAAAGGATTCGGCTTCGTCACTCTTGATTCCATTGAATCTTGCGAGAAGGCTCGTGCTGCCCTCCATGAATCCCACGTTCAAGGAAGAATTATTGAAGTCAGAAGAGCGACACCAACAAGAAGGAAGCTCGTCAATAATCCACACAATGAGCTGCTCCCACCTCCAAAGTTGTGCGTCGATCTTCGTGCTCCACACAACCAATGGAGAACCGAACCAAATCATAACCATCACCATAATCAATACTTCAATGATGAAAACTCTGGATTCCCATCTGGATTCATGATGGCACCATTCAATGATCATCGCTTCTCCCAAAGCTGCTCATCGAGGCCCGTGTTCGGAGAGATCAACTTCAATAGTGCACCACCGCGTTGCACGAAGCATAGCCAGCTAAAGCTCTCCTCAGCTGGGGATTACTTCTGTAAGAATGGGGAACCGACAACCGAGAACAGTATTCTGATGTGCATGAACAGCCAGAACACTTCACGCGGAAAGGATTGCTCAAATCACGAACTTTCCGATGTGGAGCCAAACAGCATGTTCCCAAATCACCTTCACGATCAGATAACTGCACTTCTCGACACTTCCAACCATTATGGGTCATCTAACACCAGTACCAACCAGAGAAGAGCACCATCGGTCACTTCGTCAGGTTCCGGAGTCAGAACATCGGAGAGTGAACATGCTTCAGGTAAATTTATTTCTATCTATGAAATGTAATATATGAATTTCTAGACGAGGAGAATCAATGGACTCCAAACTGTAGTCCCGACCTTCTCGCTTCTCTCTACGAAGGCTCGACATCGTTCCACGGAAAGCTGGCTTCACCACAAAGAGGTCCTTCAGCCCACTAGGTCAAAGACCCGATACACATTTTAAAATTCCACTAACTACGTGTTTTGCAATCTCCAAAATCACCAATACCCACTTTATTTCTCACTCATATCAAATTATTTACCAATAGCTTTACGGAATCTTCTTGTACAGCGACATTTCGTTGTCTCTGTCAAATGATTCTTGCCTAAATTTGCCATTTCTTTGTAACCTCTTTCTTATACCGCCCCGGTGTTATTTTGTCGGAATGCTCACAGCATTGTCCATATTTTGTCATTTTACACACACTCAACACACTAGCAGGCTGAATCAAACTCCTATTTCTTGACCCTTTAACAATGCTTGCTTAAAAAATTATGGATGTGTTATATTTTCAGAGCCACCTTTTCCTTTTGTATTTTATAGTCACTGTTTAGCAGTTATTTTTGCATTCCTGTTTTGCCTTAAATGAAGGGCTTGTCTTGAACGGTCACTTGCACTGTCTTCTTTCGAAAAATAAGGAATTTGAAAAACATTTATTCAGGAACAACCCGCTTCTGGGTTTCAGATTTTTGAGATTAATCACAGGTGAGAAAGTTCATTATCCCGATGGTGCATTGAGAGATCGAAGGTTATTTTCCGACATCGTTTGGCCTTCTTCCATTCATGCTCCGAAGACTCGCTCTCTTCTAAAATGACGTCGTGAGATACAGCGGGAAGAGAGAAGGACGATGGCTGTCGGCACTTTGGGGCCGCTGAAAAGTTGAGTGAATTTTGAAGTTGACTGGTTTTTGATAATCGGGATGGCAAAAAGAAGAGATGAAAAAACTTACGGATTTGAAGAGTCGGAGGAGAAGAAGGGTACAAACTGCTTCGCTCTTCGTCGTTTCCCGTGCCACGCCGACTTCGACTTCGCCGACGACTAGAAAAGCTTTGGAAGAATGAAAAACGACGACTTTTCGATCGACGGCAGCCACCACTGGCCCAGCAGAAGAGGCACGATACCGGAATGAAGATACCTGAAAGATATTATCTTTAACAACTTAGTTAGGCAGAAATCCATGAAGCTAGTTTTTCACCACCGTTCCGAGCATTTAACAATTTGGAAAATCCCGTCTATCCCCCACAGGATTATCCTTTCAGTCACTCCTCTCATCGCTTATTCATCAAGAGAGAAAGAGCTGTGACGAACTAAAACAAACACCGAAAAACGCCGAGGTTCCGTCTGCAATTACTCCTCTTCCTTCTACCGAAAAAAAAGAAAAACGAACAGACATCGAAGAAGTAACGACTTCTTCTTCTTGCTCTAATTGAGACGCTTTCAGCAACCACTACAGTAATCTTATTGATTCTCTGGGAGTCGTAAAAACGAGAAGAAGCCCTCGGCTATTTATGTTTTCTCATGGAGAAAGGGATTGACTTCATCTCTGGTCTGCCCTCTCTTTTTTCTAGTAAATCTCATTACAATTCATTTTATTATAAATGCACTATGAGCATTTTTATACCCTTCCTTTTTTCTGTCTCGATGATATGGAATGAGAGAAAGCGCCTGTCTTATTGTCAGATATTTTTTAGATCATCAAACAAAAGCTATTTGGGTCGTTATTCAATTCTTTTCGGGTTTCTGTTCGACACTGTGACGTGCGTGGGATTTCTTTCGTAAAATTTCTTTCGTAAATAAGAGGCGTTGGTCTCGACGCGAAAGCTTCGAATTGAACTGTCGAGTCTTACGGTTTGGTGTCTACATTTCATCAGAAAAGGCACCGGGGCAATTAAAATTATCAGAGAAATCGTGGGAATTTCCAATGTTGATTTTAAGAATTTCGTTAAGAAAAAAAAATGAATGAACCTGTGAAAATTGCGAAGAAAATAACAGCTAGAAAGGCAACAAAATTGAGCTGGCATACAAGATTTGGCATGTGACCGGTACAGTAAGAAACGAGAGATCCACATTCCGAAGTGCACTCTTCCTGAAAAATTCGTATTAGAGCATATGCTCTTTCATCTTTTCAACCGGAATAAGGCATTTTCCTTCTCCCGCCTACAGAATAAATGAACAATATTATTAATGAGAAATTCTTCGAATAGAAAACTGCATGGACAATTTATTTAAACATTTCTTAGTAGTTCAGAATGTTACAATAATTTCTTAGAATTCAAAAAACTAACCAACGATGAATATACCGGATATACTGCATCCATAGTAGAGAATTCAATCCATTCCTGTTGGTTTTACAGTTGATAGAAGAACGGATATTTGTAGATTTCGGTCTGGAAAAATGAAGAGATATGTAAATATTCGAAAATAAAGAAAAATGATGTGATTCTTCAATTTTATGTACCTAACAGAAGCCAGAAGAAAAGATAAAGGATCGAACATTAAGTGGAAGAAGAAGGAAAACAACATTTGATGAGCTGAAAGTTGAATTCTAAATTCTTCCAGATCCACCCACCAAAGTTTTGGGTTTTTCGGAAAATAGGAAGAGTCCGGATGGAGGCGGACTCTTCTGAATGAGAATGCGATAAAAAAAGAAGAAGAAGGGAGGAGCAAAAGATGCAAATAGAAAAAGTGTCGGGAGAGGAGGCTCGCACAGACACAACTATATGTGTCGAATAATAACATATCGAACGGAAAAGGAGAAGAAGAGATCGGATGGGAAAAGAAGGACCGGATGGTTAAGTGGAAATGGGAAAGTATTCAAGGGGAAGGGCAGACATACTCTTGAAAAAATATCCCATTTGTAGACGAAGTAGAAGAAGAAGGGAGCCGTTTCTGATCACTTCTAGGTTTGTGCTTTTTTGGAATTCTTCAGAATTTTTATCCTTTTCCGTTTGACTTTAATCCTATCAATCCAGTGGGCGAGCATTTCCTTGATGATTTCAAATGCGGTCCGATTATTCCCATGTAGATCGGGTTTCGAATGAATCTAGTTCAATGTTTCAAAGTTCTGAATCAAAATTTTATACATGTTTCATATTATTCATATATACTCTAGAGGCTTTATGAATACAAAACTTTTTCAAAAAGTTTATGAAATGATTATAATTATTTATTGACATTCTTGGGATATGTTAAATATTTAATGCCGATTTTCTAAAATATTTTGACTTTTTTTTATACTGGTGCAAAAAAATCAGATCTGTGGAAGAGAAAAGTTTGTGGGTGTGGCCAAGGTTCCCGTAAAGAAAACCACCGTAACCAAACATTTTCGTCTCTTTTTTCTCTTTTGCTTTCCGACAATTTTTGTGTTGAAAACCTCGGAACAAGTCAGAAAATAAAAAAAAAATTTTAAATCTATAAAATTGCCCAAAAACGGACGAAAATTGACAAAATATATGAAAGCGAAAAAAGTATAGAGGCCAAGAAAATTCTAAAAATTCTTCTACAGTACCCAGTCTGAACATTTGGATATAAACAAGAATTATTGAAATAATAATGAAGAAACAAGATTTCAACGATGTTTGAACAACTTTAGAATTTCAGAAATCTGTCGAGACAGCTGAATCTGAATCTAATGAACTATGCTTACGTGATACCTGAAAACCAGGGGTATCCAGGTTCAAGAAACCGTTAAAATATTCATTTGGAGACCAAAGGGAAAGCAGTCTTCCGTTAAACCTAATAGAGAGGCCTTTCGGACTTTTGTGTGTAGGATTTCGGAATAATTGAGACGTTGAGCTAACAACGAAAACAGGAAACGGAGACGCCTGCAAACGTATACGTGACGCTTCGGAAACTAGATTCTGAGAGAGTTCAAAATTTGTGATTCTCGACTCCCTTTTTCTATTTTTTAGCCCCCTCTCCTTTCAAGGCGACTTCCTCGTCTCACTTCTGGCCATTCATTATTAGCAGGTCAAAAGGCGAAAAAAAGGAGAAGACGTCCAGAGATTTGATGCGATTTATGCATCTCCTTTGAGATGTATTTGATGAATAGTGTCTGAGGCATCAAACATGTTCAAAAGCAAAAAAAATGAATGTGTTTCTCCATCACGGGGAATGGCAGAGTCATAACTCACACAAAATAATTGCGACTCCAAATTTCTAGGAATTTCCATTGAAAGTGTGGGAAATCAAAAGAGGGAAAAATATTAGAAAAAAACTGGCGGAAATGGTATGAGACACTATGATTCATTGTAAGAAAAAGAAGAAAAAGAAGCGAGTCATGCGTAACAGAATGATTAGAAAATGAACATTTTTCAGAAAATTACTGTTTTTGAAAAATTGATTTTAATTAGTTTATACGAAGATACCGTAATCCCTGTAATAGAAGACCGGACAATGCCAAGTTTGAGCTAATTTATCTTGGCTCCAATGCAAGATATCAAAAATGTGTCAATTGACAAAACACTTCTGGTATTATGATAAACAAATTATCAGTTGACAATTTTTTTACATCTTTGGCAGAAACCGAGAAAAATTGGCTCAAAGTTAAAAGATAGGGGTCCATTCTATTACAGGTCTTACAGTCTCAATTTATTACTTTTATAGTGAATCTGCAAAAATTTAAATGAAAATGGAAAACTAACCGAAGGCATCTCGGGCGTCGCCAGCAACTACTGGTTGGAGGTTGGTCAAATTACTGAGATGGCTGCTACTTAATCCGAACAAACTCCGACAAGCAACGTTCCCACCTAGTAGTACTTCAACTTTCAAATTCCCACCAAAATCTCATCATGGCCCGCTATACAGCCGTTCTCGAGAAACTTCCGACTAGAACCTGGTCAATTTCAGTTTAAAAGCATTTTTTTAAAAGTTCATCTGAATTTTCAACAAAACATTTCCCCTTTTATTCAATTCCAGATCTGAACAACCAATCAACTCCCACTTCATTTCAAATATCAATGATTACATCAGTGTACCAAAGGTACACACATAAATATTGTGATTTCTTGCTTCCAAACTCAATTATTATCTCAACTGCACAACCCCTATATCAATTTCTAGTGTCAGTCATGAGTCTCTGAATATATTGTGAAACGTTGATGGAAAGAAATTTCAGCATTTCATTTTATCAGCACCAGGATGCTGTAATCGATAAATACTTAATTGCAAGTTTAATTCTCCCCATCTTAACATTGCCTATTTATCTGGAAGGAGCTTATTGTTTGTATTCATGTAATGATAAATTACAGCAACATTATGTTCATGTTTTACGAGTTCATGTATCTCTGTGAGTGTTCTTTTAATAGGCTTTAATCGAGAGATTTTATGTAAAAAAGATTTTACCTAATTTCTTTGTTCTTCAGAAGTCTCGTCGGCGAGATATACGGATTCTTTTTTATGCGTCCAGTGGTATTTCTTCCAGTTGTCGGTCTTTATTCTACTGGACTATTCGGATACCTTCAATTTCCTACATTTCTCCAAATCATTATATTATTTTTCCTCTACCAAATCAATGCATGCACAATGATTCATTTATTAATTCTTCGATTGAAAAGTATTCTTCCTCTGACTTTTCGGTTCTATCGAGAGTCCATCAAACTAGGAACCCTTTTCGTTCATGGAACTTACATCACTTCTGTGATTTCTTTGAGTAACTTTGCTCTGCTGTTAGAGAATCAAGACATTGCCAAACATCAGTGGTCTACGTGGCTGAATGGAAATGTACCTAATAAGTTTTGGACGGATAATTATATTGTTACATCTGGAAGTAATCTAAGATTTTCCTTATTTTTGAAGTTGTGCGGTATCAGTTTGGTAACATACATTGCTGCTTGTATTGCTATCCCAACAGCAGCATTTCAAATTTTGAATCGAATGAATGAACGATTATCAACACATGTTGTAAATGCCCAGAAACAATATATTAAAGGATTAGTGTGTCAGGTAACATTTGATATTGATTATACAAAAATTACAAAAAAATATGTCTTGCCTAATCCGGTGCAACCTTCAGTTTTTCAACACATTTTATGATCCAAATTAAATTTCAGATATTTATCATTGTTATTTTCCTCTTACTGCCTTTCACTACCTTCATTGTTGGGTTGGAAATGAGAATACACTATCCAGGTATTTTTAGACAGAAACTTTTATGAAAAATTTCAATCTAGTGCTGGTTACAATTTCAATTACTCTTGCAATGATTCATGGAGCTGCCGCAACGTTTGCTATGATTCTTGCCAATAAACCACATCGAGTCATATTCTTTTATCATTTAAATTACTGTATGTTTTCTGAATTCAAACATTTTGAGTTTTGTTTCAATGAGAGCTCAATCCTAACCAGTTGCTTCATCAAATTTCCAGAAAAAAAATTCTTGCAGGCTACACAACACTCAAATGCACAAACAACAGGAGAGATCATAAAGTTTCGGACACCCCCATAGTGACGGTTACACCCAACTTCGTAGTCTCAATTTGATCTATCCCCCCACGCTACAAAACATATTTCTAGTCAGTGAATCCTAATAGTAAGACCAACTTAATCAAATTGAAAATAAGCCATGAGTCGTGCTTACCTCGCTATGAAAGTAAAGTTGATTACTGCAAAGTCAGCCGTCGGGATATAAAAAGTGAGTGATATGAGCATTTCACCAAAAAATGGAGTCGGTGAATGTGAATGAACATGACCATATATATTCAGTTTATACCAATGTTATGAAGTTTATTCCAATTGTAACTATCCCTATTTATTTGGAAGCAATCTACTGTATCATTAAAAGAAGTCCTAGTTTTCAAAAACACTATACTGTCATTTTGACTGCTCATATTCTAGGGTGACCATTATGAATTCATTCATCTAGATTTTATCCAGTTTGTTTTCAGATGCCTGTATGAAGAATTTTATGGATTTCAACTTTTCCGTCCGATGGTTTTCGTTCCTATCGTTGGAATTTATGCTGATGGAATCCTCTCGATGCTCGGAGTTCATCCATTCATCCAACTTTATGGAATGTTCATGTCAATTCAAATCAATTCAGCAATTCTAACTCACATCACATTCTATCGTATGAAAATAATCATTCCAATGTCATTTCGCTATTACACTCGAGTTATTCAATTTGGCATATTCAGCACTGTGTTCATGTACGTCGGTGCTATTCTATCTGTTAATTCGATTCTTTTAACAATTGAAGATCAAATGACTGCGAAAAATTTGATTTACATGATGGTGAGAAATGGAGAATGTGATAATGGAAAAATTTAAGAATTTCTCAGAATATCCGTCCGATTCCAACTGTGTTCTGGTCGGAGAAGTACATGGTTTCCTCTCCGAAAAATCCGAATACCCCAGCGTTCCTTGTTTGCGGTACCATATGTATCGGATTTTATATTTTGTTGTGCATTACTCTTCCATCAATCTGTTTTATAATTTTACATCGCACAAGGCATTCATTGTCTGATAAAGTGATCAAAGCACAACGGGCATATTTACGAACGATTTTGTTACAGGTGAGAAGATTGTTATTTTCCAGGAAGACCTGAAAATTTATTTCTGATTTTTTGCAATAGGTCTCCAAAGAGAGCCCAGTCTATGAAACTCGGAAATTTCAGAATTTTCAGGTACTCATTGTTGTGGTTTGTATAATTATGCCATTTTCTGTATTTTTCGCCGGAATGGCCAACATGATCACAAATCCCGGTATGCCCGTAATGCCTCTCCCGACAATCGCGGTGTTTTTTTTCAGTGATAATCCCCGCATCTCTTATCTTCGCCCTTTGCCACGGATCAGCTTCCACTCTCATCCACCTGCTCTCCAATAAGCCATTTCGTGATACAATGAAAACGCAGCTGTCTTGGGGTAACATAAGTTTTCACATTAGAAATATACATATAAAAATCCTCTATAAATTGCAGTTAAATGTCTTCTAACATGTTCAAGCCTTGATCGAAGCAGCAAAGTTCATACGATGTCTTCAATTGTCGGGTGACTTTTGATCTCTCTTCAATTCCATACTTTCAAGCTGCCACATTCACTTTACTACATAACTCATTTCTATGTTCTTCACTTTTTTCCACCCTCACTTTTTCGCGATTTACGATACGTTATCCCAATAAAAATTGCTCGTTTTGCGGCTGACAAAGAAATTGAATGCACATGTTTTAGTTGCGTTGTACAATAGATTGAAGAAGAAGTAAAAGATGAAGATCTCTCAAAAAACGAGAAGAGCATCCGAGGAGATGGCTTATGTGACAACGAAGGGATCGGGTTGTGTGATCATTGGGGGACGGGGGGAGCAATAATATCATGTAGAGAAGGGAAACAAAAGCTGAAGAAAAAGAAGAATATGATGATACATGATAAAATACAAAACCATAGTAACAAGAAAGTTCAAAGGGGACCAGGAGGACCAAATATCAGAGGTTGGAAAGTTTTGGATGGATTCAGAGTAAGTGAACCTCCTAGGTCCTTTTTGGAAGAGCTAGGTACGTTTCCAGCCTGCCATCCAGTTTCCCAGAGCTCCAAATTCTAAAAAAGGTGTTTTTTCCCTATTTTTCTCTTCACGGATTCTTCGATAGACCATCCCCAAGGTATGGTACTTTCTCTAGTCTCGGTTCGTGTGAAACATTAAACATACCTATGTGTGAAACCAAGCCAATTATTTTGACAGTCGCTTCCTGTTCAAAAACCGAGAGGCTGACTTGATGGGAATACATCGCTCCTCAAGTTTTAGCATCCTGGGGATTCCCTTCCAATTGTTCATTGTACTTTATCCACTCTGCTGGCACAAATGCATTCCTTCGAGTTGGCATCTGTTCTCACTCGATCTGAAATCCTTCTCTTTATCGTAGATTATCGTGTGCCTCTATCATTTCTTCTCTTTTTCTTGTTTCTCTTTCCTTCGCTTCTTGTTTTGCTCCTCTTTTCTCCATGCCACGTCTGCTGCCCCCGAACCACATTCATCCCCGTCGGGAGCTCTTTCTTCCCGCTTCGTCTTTCTCGGATCCCATAGTCGAAACATTACACTTGCAGAGAGACGGAAGACTCGGCAAGCTCTGACGAAACAAGCTGAGAAGTCGAGAGATTCTAAGAATATTACATTCGGCAGGATGCCTCCTGTGCTGGTTGTGGGCGACGTTTTCTCTCCTCGATTTCGATATCTCTATCGTCGGGAAGAGAGCGATGTGGCAGACTCCGCCCACTAACTTTGAGCGATCGGCGGCGGCGGAAGGCACCCCCAAGTTGGCCCTCATTCTGGGACGTGTTTAGGTCTCGTATCACTACTACACCGCATTTGCAACTATGTCTGACGTTGAGGACGAGTACGAAGACGAGGAGGAGATCGAGGAGGACGAGCCAGTCGCCGATGAGAACCAAGAGCCAGAGGTAAACTTTTTATGTTTCCTTTTTTGATTTTTCCATTTTCGTTTTTTATCAGTTAGTTACTGTATTAGGAACACCGAAAGTCGTTCTCACTGTTTGTCGAGGTTGAGCTATTTTAAGCTAAATTTAAAGGGATATCCTGATACAAAGTTCCCGTGTTTTGAACCGCATTCTGGAAATTTTAGGTCTCAATTCGATTTTCTCTCCCTATGCTAATAAAAATGTTTAATGATTCTTCTTCATTATCTTATTATATTAGTGCTCCCAAATTATATATTATATTAGTGCTCCCAAAGCTCGAATTTCCTCCTACTCCTTGTTCTTAGTAAAAACCAATATTGATCAGTTACTAGTTCCCAAGTTCCAGTTTCACAAACATTTTCCCTTCTTCTTTTCTTCAGTGCCGTTGTCATTTTCTTCCGATGGCACCGTTGTAATGTGAGGGAGCACCTCCAAACTTCTACCAAAACTCTCTTCATTTTACTTGCTATTTTCTCCTCCAAGTGTTACACAACTTATCTCCGACGCCATTCATCCGAAGATTTCTGATTGTAGTTCAACAATAGAAGATGATAATAGTATGGGCTAGAACACATCCAAATGCACTTTGATTGAAATTTGAAATTACTTGATTAAGTGTCTAATGCTCGAATTCTTATCAGGCTGAGCCAGAGGCTGAAGAAGAGGCTCCGGCTCCGGCCGCCGCCGCTTCTCCAAGAGCCGCTGCTCCACCAGCGTCGATCAAGTCTCCGACGCCAGGAAGACAAGTCAACTTCACTCCAAGCATTCCACAGAGTGTTTTGAGAAAGTAAGGATTTAGAAAAAAGAAAGGGAAGTACAGTAGTCAATTCTAGGCAACAGAACTACTCGTCTGGAAAGCCATCAACCATCCACACAAAGGAAAAGTTGATGAGATCCGAGGGAATCATCCCAATTCAAGCTGGATCCAACAAGTATGCTTCCCAAAAGGGAATGACCGGATTCGGAGTTCCCCGTGACGTCATTGACAAGATCAAGTCTGAGAATTTGGCCGAGATTACTGATGAGAAGAAGATCGCCAACCTCAAGGGATCCACCTGGTTGCAATCCGGAACAAACAAGTTCGCTTCCCAAAAAGGACAGACCGGTAAAAAACAACGTTTGATAATTTCGAAACTGTAACTTCCAACGTTTCCAGGATTCGGAGCTGTCCGTGATGTTAACTACAAGACCAAGGGAACCGGAGGAGCTTCAGAAGTTCCAGAAGAGAAGGCTCGTGCTTCCGATGGAATCGTTCCACTTCAGTCTGGAACCAACAAGCTTGCCTCCCAAGCTGGAATGACCGGAATCGGAATGCCACGTATTGTTGATGGTGAGTTAGGAAATTCTGAGAAGTCGGAAGTAAACTATATTTTTTAGTGAGACGGACAAACGACCAGGATCGTGATTCCCAAGGATTCATCCACCTCCAAATGGGAACCAACAAGTTTGCCAACCAAGCTGGAATGACCGGATTTGGAATGCCACGTCACAACATCACCAAGTAAGTTTCCCGCCCAGAAATTGAAATTTGAATAGTTTAGTGTTATACAAAGCTAAAACAATAATTTTCAGGTACAAGGACGAAGTTCGCGGAGACATGCCACACGACGAGGGAACCCTCTCCAGACAGACCTCTGGATGGAAGGAGGGAGCTTCGCAAGCCGGTATGACCGGATTCGGAGCCTTCCGTAACAACACCGTTGCCTTCATGCAAGCCCAAGACCAGAGATCACAAGGAATGATCCCATACCAGATGGGAGTCAACTTCCTTGAATCTCAAGCAGGAAAGACTGGATTCGGACAGCCAAGACAGGTGTACACTCCATTCACTGACGATTCTCATGAGGATCTGCCAGCTGATATCGCCCGCCGACCGGATGTTCCATTCTGGACTGGACAGAAGGAGGCCGAACATGCTAACCAGGTGAGAGCATTGATTTATGTACAACTGTAATCTATAAAATTTCAGACCGGTATGACTGCCTTTGGTACTCCACGTGACGTTCGCGGAGAGTATGTCCGCCGCATGTGGTAATTCCATCTTCCATCAATCCATACAAATCCATCATCTCCTCCAAAAAAACAACAAACGTTTTTTTTTTAATTTTTTACTTTTTTGAATTTTAATTTTTGAACTCTTTGCAATTTTTTTGAGATTGTACCATAATAAAACTATGAGCCTTGCCCATCCGAATTTTACTTTCAATCTAGTTTTTACCGAGATTAGACAAATGAATCTGATTGCTATGAAATAACTGTTAAGAACTAAATTAAGAGGGCATTTTTCGAACAAGGATGGGGAAGGGTTCCGTCACTGTCCAGTTGGAGCTTTATTATCTCGACTCCTATAAAAGATATCAAAAATGTGTCAACTAACAAAACCCTTCTGATATTATGATGAAAAATTTATCAGTTGACAAATTTTTGATATCTTTCGAAGGAACAGAGAAAGATGAGGTTAAAGTACACGTATATGATGCGCTCCAATTAGAGCATTACGGTATCACTGTGAATGACAGTTGACCCTAAAGACACAGCTAACCCTCATTTTGGGTATAATTATTACGGTTGGCATTTGAGAACTCCTTCCAAATGGGGTCATGAATGCTCTTTCCTCTTCCATTCAACTCTCATTTTCTCTATTTCTCTCCCTCCTCTTCATATACTCCAAGTGTGCAATTCGTCTCTATGGCAACCTGAGCTCCACGACGTCTGCTTCGTATTCTTCAACCCCTCATTTGACTCCTTATTCAGAATGACTGACGGTCCGGTTATCGAATTCACCGGATTCATGAAAGCTTTCCGCCTGTTCCGCGAGAATCGTCTATCCGAAGCAGAAGCCGTCTGTACAAATCTTCTCCGCAAAAACCCATTGGATCAGGTATTGATTTTGCACTTTTTCATTTTCACCAACAAAAAAAAACAGAGAAAAAGTGAAAAACAGATCGATGTATATATGTGTGTGTGCTCAAGAGGCAAAGCATCAGTGTAATATTGTGTAGGCGAGACGAAGATGCTTCTTCACGTTTTCCTATCCCTCCTTTCTTATTGGAAATCGAGGGATCTAAAATGAAAAAAAACACACGAAAGAAAAAATGTGTCAACTTCCAGGCAACATGGGCTCTGAAAATGCAATGTCTTTCGGATTCCACATATGTCGATGAGCTGGATAATGAGGATATGGGATTAGCGGAGACGTTTTTGGAGCAGAATGTGATTGCAACGAGTGCAAGACCAGGAACTAGTTTCCAGAGACCAAAGACTACTGCAAAAGGAATGAATCCTATTATGAGGTTATCAGATCAACCAGAAGGTGCTGTAAAAATTCAGAATCTTCCAGACCATCTACAAATGCTGGCCGCCCACTCTCTGGAGTTGTTCGTCCTCAAACTTCATTCAAAGCAGGATCCATGGACCAAGCCGTTCGAACTGCAAGAACTGCAAAAACAGCAAGAGCTGTTAGTAGCACATCGGCCAGAAACATGAGACTTGGAACGGTATGAAGCTATGCATTGTTTGTTTCAAGTCTTAAAATTCAGGCATCCATGGCAGCTGGAGCAGATGGAGAATTCGTTAATTTGGCTCGATTAAACATTGATAAGTACGCTGCTGACCCGCAAGTGAATCGTCAACTGTTTGAATACGTATTCTACTACGTCAATGATATGCGTGTAGCTCACCAGATCGCAGGAACTGCTTCAAAGTCTGCCTCTTTTGAGGACTACTACTGGAAGAATCAACTTGCCAAATGCTACTTGCGGTCAGTTTTTTAAATGAAATTTTGGTTTTCGATAAAAATAGTTATAGGTTGGGAATGCTCAATGACGCAGAGAAACAATTGCATTCTTCTCTAAATCAACGCAAATTGATTGAATCGTTTGCACTTTTGGCAAAGGTGAGTGATTGATTGGGTACTATCGAATAGTTTCCGTTTCAGGTTCAAAATCGAATGGATCAACCGGTGGCAGCATTGAAAACATACGCGCAAGGTCTCGACTCGTTCAATGAAGACGTCACAATGCTCACTGGAATCGCACGTGTCCAGGAGGCACTTGGAGAATACGACTTATCTGTTGATATGTATAAAAGAGTCCTAGATGTTCAGTCGAATAACATTGAGGTAATACTTCTATCATATGAGCATCAGATTAGATGTTTTCATGATTTCAGGCGATTGCTTGTGTTGCTACTACACATTTTTATGATGGAAAACCAGAAATTGCGTTGAGATACTACCGAAGAATTCTTCAAATGGGAGTTTCATCTGCAGAGTTGTTCATGAACATTGGACTATGTTGTTTTGCGGCCCAGCAGTTTGATTTTGCTGTTTCATCGATATTACGGTGCATTATCTGTTTTAATAATCCTGCAACACACTGATAGAGTGCCATCATAACCTTCAACTTTGAGCACATATATCTCCGTTCCTGTGAAAGGCATCAAAATTTTGTCAACTGACAAAATGTTATTGATGTTATAATACGCATTTCACCCGTTGACAAAATTTTGATATTTTTCAAAGGAGATATATGGGTTCAAAGCTTTACGGTTTGGGTTGCACTCTATTAGTTTACGGTTGTCCATAAATAATTTAATTTCAGAGCTCAATCTACAATGACCGAAGATGTGGCAGCTGACATCTGGTACAACATCGGACAAGTTATGATCGATGTAGGAGAACTTGAATACGCAGCCAGAGCTTACAGCATTGCTCTCACTCATGATCCGGATCACAGCGAATCTTTAGTGAATCTTGGAATTTTGAAACACCGCGATGGTAAAAAAATCATCAGATTATTGTATAATTGGTATATCTTTCTAGGGAAAATCGACGAATCTCGTGCAATGTTCAGTTCTGCAATCGCCAAGAACCCGTTGATGTTCGAAGGAAACTACAACTTGGCACTTGTCTGTCTGGCTCAGGGAAGATATCATGAAGCTAAGAATTTGATTGGAAAAGCGTTGGAAGCATTCCCGGATCATGAGCATTGCAGAGGATGTACGAAAATATGAAGCCGCTCTATGAATCAGTCTGATACCTATATCCCCTACTATGCACCCATTTGATCAAAATCGATTTTACCTTTGGCCTTCTTCTCTAGATGTTGTCATTGTCATTTGATACTCTTACACATGTGCATACTCCAATTTTAGTTAGAAAAACGACGTTCTTCCTTCTCTTCCAATGAAATTCTATATCTCTTTTCTGTTAGTGACACATTCATTTCCCTACACCAACTCATCATGTGGTGGTTCCTATTTCTTTTAGCTCCGAGTTACGCTGAAAATTCAACTGGAAGAGTGGATATTCTCTTGATTATAGAACATCAGAAGCTGTTGACACTGGTGGGTTTTCGATTCTGTATCTTTCTAAAATAGTATTCACAAAACTGATTATTCAGAATGAAGAAAAATCGTCAGTTGATATTTCGTTTGAAATTTGCTTTGAATGGGAAACAAGAAGTAGGAAAGTCCCAAGAAGTCGAGAGCTAGCAACATGGAATGAGTTGGACGCATTCGGAATCATCACTGAGAATCTGTAAAAAATGTTTATCTGTAAATCAGTAAATTCGGATATAATATTTTTCAGAGAGAGCTCCCAAATTTCCAAAAGTATCATAACGAAAGAGAATCAGGTTCAAAATGTGCGATCCATCCGTTTTGTATCAATTCAGTCCGAGAAGCCATTGGATTTTTCTGCTTTCCCAAGTGATTCTCATTTTTTTCAAATAAGATTCACTTCTATAACTAAAAACTCTTCTCAGTTAACGCTGAATCCTCATTTTTTATCTACTGCTCAAGAACAGGTTTCTATTTTGCTTTGAAAATCGAAATTTTCATTATTTTCAGACAGAATCCCACTACAAATTCGAAGTTTCAAAAGCATTCGTACAGTGGGTTGTACACAAAAATGAATCCTTTGAACAGGCAATTTTTGAATTCCGTGTTATTCGAAGACCTTCTCCATCTCTTCGAGTTTCCATGTTTCTATTGTTCCTAGTCAATGTAGCCATGACCTTCGATTACTTTCCAGTGTCAAGATTATTTCAAAAAAGGCCCAAATCGGTTAGTACTGAACTTGGATTTTAAATATGATCGAAACTTATGGGGTTATTGAGTGGGAAACAAATCAGCAAATTTCTGGTTTTTTCCTTATTTAACCCATCAATTTGCTGGGGCCGTTTGCTGGAGTTTTCTAGGCCATTTCTGGTGGAGCTACACAGCCAGTCTAAGCGAGATTCAAGCAGGGAACTCCGTGCGCCTTTAATTTTCGAGCTCGTAAATCGCTGGTCGTGTAGCTCCACGAGAACAAGCCATGGCTTAGAAAACTCCAGCAAACGGCCTCAGCAAGTTGCTGGGTTTCGGCATAAGGAAAAAACTAGACATTTGCTGATTATTCAGGGATTCTATCTATGTTGTGGATTGCTCATAAGTATGGTGGCTGCTAGACAAAGTCCCAAGTTTGGAGAGTTGACCAGTTACGGTGAGAAAATTATTTTGAAGATATATTAAAAACAAATAAGTTCCAGATTACCAACTAATGGCTCTTCTCCTCCTCGGACTTCTCATTGAAATACTGCATCAGCTTCTTCCATTTCTAGTTTTTCATTTGAGATGTTGTCCATTGGAGTCCGATCCATCACCACCACTGTTCCCTTCTCCAAGTGACCAGTTCAGTTTGGATACTGAAAGATCAAAGTAATGGAGAAAAACGAAATTTAAAAAAAAACGAAAGGTTACACAATGTTTCAGGTGTAATGCTGCACTAGATTCTGCTAGAGCTGAGTCAATGAGAAGTCCTCGAATCGCTAACTTTGACATGTGCTTGGTAGGTTCTATTAAAAAATTAATCCCCGTAAAACCTGTAATAGATGACCCTTAACTTTGAACCGATTGATCTTGGTTCCTGCTCAAGATATGAAAAAGTTTTCTACTGACAAATTGTCTATCATAACATCACCTACATTATATCAGTTTACACATTTTTGATATCTTGCAGTGGAGACTAGAAAAATCAGCTCAATGCTAACTGTGTGGAGGCCCTTCTATTACAAGTGTTACAACACTAAATGAAATTGTTTTCAGGCTGAAGTAAAATTCACCATGTCAACATTCAATGAAGTTTTAAACTTGCATTCTTCCGCAGAATGGAGAAGGTACCTGTGTAATTCCGTTATCCTATCCCAAAACAATTTTCCAGAAAACTCTGGTACAACGCCTATCGCCGATTTGAAATTCTTGCATTCTTTAGTCTCCAAATTATAAATCTTGTTCTTTTCTCATCTTTCTGCCAATAAATGCTCAATTATCATTATCATTATCAAAATACTCATTTGCAAAAGTGGATCAATGCATACAGACACAAAAAGAGAGAGTGCGGGGGGTGATGAGATCAATTCTTTTGAATTTTTGTTTTGATTTGAACATTCAATTCTAGTCGAGTGAAAAATGATGAGAGTGAGAGAAAAAGAAGAAGAGAAGTTGTAAGAGAATGGAAAAAAGGAAAATGAAACTGTCCGTCTTCAAACAGAGCTCGTGATTGTGGGGGAAGGAACATTTGTAAGGGATCACAGAGAGATAGACAAGGACAAAACATCGGGAGGAAACAGGAAAAACGGTTTTCGGTGAGAAGATTTAAAACAAAATATGAGAGGACCCGTTGACACATTGCACCAAAAAAAAGAGTTAGTGAAAATGGAAAAATTAGAAGAAGCGAAAGAAGGAGAAAACAAAAAGTGGTAATGTGCGACGACGATGTTGGAGAAGAAGCTATCACCGGCACCCGCAAGAATCAACCCGCATATCGGCATACTCTCTTATCACTATTCTGAAAAAAGATACACTTGATTTAAAAAAGGAAAATATTTCAACTCACACTTTATCTACATCCATGTAGAGAATCGAAAGAGGGCTCGTTTCAGTAGGCACACAGCACGGTGGTGGCACCTGAAAGTGATCTTGAGGGACATTCAATATCCAAAAAAACTCACTTCATCAGGTTTTAAAGAATGTAAAAGAGATTGAATAATAGCATGGTTAGTAGCATTTAGCTGAGCTGGCATTGGATTTGGACAACTACCTTGGCATTGATACGCATCATAGCCCTCTGAAATATGAAACCCCTTTGTCTCTTATTTTCATTTCAAAGCTCTGCATTTTTTTTACAGTTGTCAAAAGTATAGCTTATCTAGAAAAAATCAACTCACTGGGCGCCATAATCCAATCTTGCCAACCCAGATCATCAAAATCCACGTAGAGATCTGTTCTTCGGCATAGATTACTCTCTGCTTCAGTGTTATGATGTTTTCTACCCTGGAAAATAAAATGGAATAGCCTCCTTTCGTCCCCTTGCCTACAGTATACCCTACCTTCTTTCGATTTTTTCGTTCGCTGTTGCCTGTTTGTGCACTTCGTTTCCGTCGGACGCTAGATGGTTCTGATAGGTCACTGAAAACAATGAGCGGTGCACTCTGAGCCCGTGCGTATGGTAACGAGCTCAGTGAGCTGCTTTGTGTCTCTTCAATCTCCACATCTTCCGGCAATTCGACAAAGAAACTGATACGATCTGTCCGCCTTCTGAAGGCAGCCGTCACGTCGAAATCGATCCAATCGCTTAATTCGTCGTCGGATCGAGATTCGATTTGAAATTTTTCATTGTTCTGAAAAGTTGAATGCATTTTATTTCAAAACTAGATCTACCAACCATATCATCTTCGAAGAAATATATAGAAAATCTGCCGGACCTCCTCGCTGAGTTGTTGCGATGTAACCGAAGCTGGAAACATATATATTTTGAAAAGCACAATAATCAAAAACTCACTTTCAGTATTGCCTTAGTGACTTCTTCATTTTGAGCATCTCGTGCAGCCAATGAAAGATTGTAAGACAAAACTAATCCTTCGCTATCTTCAGTGATCTCCTGAAATCCGGAAGGTTTGAAAACTTTACTCGAATAGTAATTTTTACCTTTGGATAATAATGCCGGACCCAGTCGACATCGTTATCATCATCATAAATATCCCACATGTGTTGTGGGACATTTATACTCGGACCAGTCTGTACTGGAACGTGCTCAAGACCAAGTTTACGAAGCATGCCACTTCGCAAACCATGAGCTTCCGAGGCACGATTTATTGGTGGATCAGCAGCAGACACTGACATGATGATCGGAGTGATTGCGAGAAGGAGGAGGTGGAGGAGAATGGCGGACAGTTGGAAGCGGAAAACAAGTGATTTTGTGCTTGAAATCGTTGTCGTTGTCCGCACAGAGTCGTTCATAGTTGAGTTGGGCGCATCAGGCAGCCACTGGACATATCGTAGGGGATGTTGAAAATACAGAACGGACAAAGGGAAAGGGAAACAGGGGACAAGGACTTCTATGTGGGGCTCGCCGAGATGACCGACTCTCCTTTTGCTTAGCGCATAATCAGGCTGAAAATTGGAAGATATAGAATACGAGGGAACAAGACAATCAATGATAAAAACAATGAATAAAAGTGGAGGGGGTTACCTAATAGAAGGGGACCTATACTGCAAAGTTTGAACTGATTTATTATATCTTGGTTCCTATGAAAAATATCAAAAATGTGTCAACTGATCAAATGTTGTATAATTAGGCTAAACACTTTTAGTGGAAAATGTTTGTGTATTTTTCGAAGGAACCGAGATAAATTGGCTCAACTTTAACAATCATAGAGCTCTTCATGATTCTGCAACCAATGAAACAAGAGTGGAAAAAAACGAACGAAGCAGTTCAAAAAATCCAAAAATAAATTTTTAGAAACTTGCAAAAAATGTGCAACGGACAGATTTGAGATGTGTCTCGTCTTGTCACCCAGTCTGTATATAAAAGTATAAGAAAGGGCATCTGCCGGAAAGAAGGACGTGACGAGGATGGACACATCAAACGGGGGAGGAATCGAAAGATGGAACACCCACCCATTTCGAGTGGGTGTGAAAAATAATCGCCCAGTTTTAAGAAAAGAGAAATAATGAAACAAAATAATGAAATAACGAAAAGGAATCGAATTTCGGAAAGGGAAATATAAAGGCCAAAAAATATGGAAGATCATCATAAATTGGCAACAATTTCGAGTTAAAAAGTCGTGGAAAAGACAAGACTTTTTCTATTCCGGGAACATTCTTTTTTCTACAAGAAAATCGCAACAATTTTCGAAAAAGAAAAAAGAGAGGGGCGGTGCACAAAAAAGAGAAGGCGTTTTTGGTTATGATAAGTTTGTGCTCTCCTCAACTCGAGTAAAAAAGTTCCAGAGCACTAATGATGAATTGATCCCGAGGGAATGTGCAAGGTTTGCCCCCATCGGATGAGCTATGGGAAAGAAGTTTCGAGTAGTTGCAGATTTGGTAAACATTTGCAAGCTCATACCGAAAAAAAAACGTATGGTCAGAAAGAAGGGAGTGGATGTTAGAAAATTGAGTTTTGAAGGTGTTGCTCGGAGCTCAGAACTGAACAGATCTTCGTCTTCGGAACAAGAGTACCGAATTCAAAAACTAGAATGGAATGCGAAACTTTCGAGTAAAAGAAGAAAACGAAGAAGAACGAGAAGCATCTCATCACATGATTGTCGACCGGTTGGTCTTCACAGGACAGCCTAGAAAGAGTTGCTTCTCATTTTCAAGAATGTTTTCTCTCGACCCTGATATGATATTCGATACGACGACGGCGGCGACTTCAAAGCCTTCTCTATGTTTGCGTGCCTGATAGTTTTTCAGATGTTTATATCCACATACAAGCAGCACTAGATTCTTTCTCAGTACCTGTTTCCGTGCTGACTCTAAGTTTGGAACACTTTCATGGAAAAATGATCTAGTTATTGTTCTCTGTGTTAGTGGCTATTTTCATCTTGAGATATACACAGATTCTCGTGCCGCGTTCAAAGTAAATTTCCAGGAGAAGTTTCCTGGAAACCGCTATCCAAAGCTGCCACTAAGCAATGGTATCACTCAATTTGAGCGTGCTTTTTTGCAATCCCTCGTAAATTGACATAAAAACCCATGTTTTGATGGTCTGATATAGAAGAAAAACACAGCCAAAACAATTTATACTGTAGTTTAATGATTGTAAATCTAAAGAAAGGCAGCTAAGACTGTAAATTTTCCATGGAAGTTTTTTTTGAACGCGGCATAGGAAAAACAACTAGAAAGTATCCACATAAGATCTAGATCAGAGATTTTTGAAGGATTAATCTTCAGACTCAATCAATCAATACTTCACAAGCTCCAGATCTTTGGTCTTTCAGATCGACCCTGAGCATAAAACCTAACAACAATTCAGAACGAACAAAGTTCTACTTTTTGACAAAAAAGTAAACAAATCGTCATGATGATACACATATCTGTGCAGAAATGTCACATTGCTCACTGCTTTTTTCGACAAATTTCTCTCAAATTACTTCAAAATGTCTCAGCTGGCCGAAAATCGAAAACACGACAAAGAACGTCAGTGAAGGTCTTTTTCACTCTGTTACATCCAAAAAAGGCGGTAAGCATGGGGGACAGGTTACGGTAAATGGGGTAACAGAAGGTTCCGGAAACGACATTCTGGCGCCAATTCGAGGTAAGGGACAGAGACAGAAGGGAAGAGAGGGTTACGGTAGAAAATGACGTATTGGAAAAGGTCAACATGGAGAAGAAGAATATGCAAGTCGAGGATGGATGAATAGATGTATAATTAGAATCTGAAGAAAAAAAAAGATGAGAATAATATTAGTTGCACGCCCTTTCGAACGGGATCTATTTGATTAGAGATAATTGAGTTATGAATGTAGGTCAGCTATGTAATGCACCAAAAAAACATAATGTGTCTAGAAAAAAACAAAAGATGAGATTCTAGGCGTTTTAGAATCTAAACAACAACAAAAAAAAACTGTTAAATGTCACCAACGAGGACCTTTTTATAGCGGTGTACTTTACTCAACGGCGCCGCCCTTTTTTCGTGTTTTTATTCATTTTGTTCCAAAAAAGTATTAAATGAGCTATACGAAATTGAGGCGGACATCCTAATTCCGCCTCCAATCCTCCCACAGATGGGACCTCTTCTCTAAAAAAGTTTTTTGCAATTGCTTCGGAGGCGGTTCGAAAGGAGAGCGCAAATTGAAATTGAATCAAGTAGCTCCCCCACTACTTTCAGTTTGCTTTGAAATAGGAAAAAAATGACGTGGAGATTAGAGTACTTTTTTGTTGTTGTAGGGGATATGACATTAGTGGAACTTTATATACTTGTTCGCAGTTTTTTCTTTGTTCTCCACCTCTCTTATTTATGCATGCCAGACGATTGACGTATGCACAGAAAAACTCCTGGTAATTCGATATCAATTCGACGATAAACGAAGAGCAACGAGGTCATGGGAGACGGATAATAAGGAAGAGAGAACAATGAAGAAACAGAGAGATTTTGAAGATTTTCGGAAGATTCTGAATCAACGTCAAGATTAAGGAAGGAATCAAGCTCATAAATGAGTGGGAAATGACGACATATGGATCAAGATCTTGAGTCTTGAACTTATTTTTAGAAGTTTTGATCCTATTCTTAGCAATGCCAGAAAGTTCTAGAACAAAAAAAACATATGGTCAACATATATTAGTTTTCACATATGTTCACAGTATCGATTTCATTCAGACAGATGTTTCATTTTTCATGGTCTACAGAAACACAGAAAATTTGTTAATTTTATACTTCAAGTGTTTTTACCCAAATTAAGACAAAGTTACAAAAAGAGAAGAAAAGAACAGAGAAGCAATACAACAATAGAAAAGACCACCCGAGTCGTGGCGAACAGATTTGTGTACACGAAATAGGACAATAACGGCCAGAAATACCATTTTGGGTTACTCAAGATTCTAGAAAGTTCTAGAATCAAGAAACGGAAATTGGGAACCAAATGCATGTGTTTGCAATGTGCGATCGCCCTTCCGATCCTCGACCGAATCCATCTTCATCAGACACATTTGGTCGTGATTTCCGGGATCAGAGAGCAAGAGCCCCAAAAAAAGAGAGGAAAATTGAAACACATGCGTCGGGATAGGGGTTTCAAGATAATTAATCGATTGGAAGAAAAAATGGGTGTTCGGCTAGATTAGATGATCGAAAAAGAAAAAAGTCGGGCCAGTAGCTCGTCGGTTTTTCATGATAGATGCTTAGGTGCACAGATGCGACAGAGACATAAGAAAATAGGATACACAAACAAAAAACGTGGTTGTCTTGTTCATGTCGATTGGAGGAGCTCTTCGACGAGAGCATTGTCACATGGTGGTTTTGGTGGTGTGGTGTGGGCCAGTCAGTACGGGCATTGTTCGGAAAATCAGAGGGAGAAAAAGGTCAAATGAGTCATAATGTCTAGTTTTGGGTATAGGTGGAACAGATGTTGGCTTTTAACTCGGGTAGGATTTTTACGAATACGGTCAGACTAATTCAAAAAGGAAGAAAACAAGAAGAATAAGAAAGCAATATTCTGCGGCCACCATCTACAGTAACCCATTTAACTAGTCAAGATCCTTATAATTCTTTTTTAATTTACATGTTGGTTTACTATTTGGAAGGCTTGAAAAATCAAGACCCGGCTCGCAGATCTGGTCGGACCTGGTCGGAGATTTTCAGGAACCGACCCGGACCGGCGGGCCCGGGTTTTCGATATTGAAATCTCAGCAATTTTTTAAATGACACTCCGTTCTTGGCAAGCTTATTAACTGACAGAAAATGTGTTAATTTTTTTCTATTGACCTCCAACTTTTTTTTTTTGAAAAAATAGGAAAAAGTACTTTCTGAAAACCCGGGTCCTGGCCGGGCTGGACTTTGAAAATTCGAAAAAAAAGTCCGAACTGGCCTGTTGCAAGTATGCTGTTTCAATTATTAACTCACGATTAACATACAGTCTACATCAAGATACAAAATGATGTGTTCTGCTCATCTATCAGATATCACAACGGTAACCTTTCGAACTTTTGCTCGATGCTCGCTGAAAATTGAAATCGATCAGTTAGAAAGATAGTGAGATTGATATCTGTCCTCTCGGAGCACCGCACGTGTTCAGTATATGAAGGAAGTTGGAGAACATGGAAGATCAAAACCAAGAAACTTGTAGATTTTTCTAGAACAATTCTCAAACACTGATCAAAAGGTCGACGAGCTCTGCGCTATTTATAATCTGGGGGACAACAAAATAGAATGAAAAACAGCATGAAATGGGAGGATTACTGTAGCGTTCTCAGAAAAATCAGACCGAACGTCTTCACACTATCATTCTGAATGACCTATCTCTATCTCAAGGCGAAAACGCATCGTAAAGTAAAATTTTGAACTCTTTCTTCTTTTTATCAAAAATTGAGATTTGATATCAATTGAGTGATAAAAATCGGTGCCCTAGGGTGAGAAAAAGAGATGGAGACACGGGGCGCCGAGGGCGGCGGGAGACGCTTGAACGATAGGAATATCACGGAAAACGGGAGAGAAGATGAAGAGCCCGCCAGATTCGCCGTTTGATTAATGTTGCTGAATGTGGCCCCAACAGTCGCGTCCGATGCTTTTTCTTCTTCTTTTCTTTACTCCTCTTCTCTATCCTTCCCCGACTGCATCTTCAGCTTTTTCGTGTCGTCGTCGTCGCCAGTTTTTCGTAAAAATAGTGTTAGAGATAAGGAGACTTTTGAAGAACCTGTGTACTTGGTGGAGCACCGAAAGGGAGATTGGGATCAGAGGATATTGAGATGGGTTGAGGATGAGTAGAGAAACGGCAACAGGTTGAAAAGAGGGTAGAAGGCATAGATCGGATCGGTGCAACTCGGCGCGATGTTGCATTGATCGACCCTCCTTCTTCTTCCCTCCCCGACTAATAATTCATTTTGCAAACCCCTTCTTCTGGACACGTGTCGTTGGGTAGTGCCCTCTCCTGTCGTGACGAAACAATAAGAGAGGAGCTGAGAAGGGTCATTTTTCTAGAGGTGCCAGAAGAAGAAGATTCGATTGGCGCTGAGCCAATCTGAAGTCACGTGACCAATGGAACCATAGAATTCTCAGCTGGGAGGGATCGAGAAAGCTCTGGGAGTTCCGAGTTAAGCGCAATCCAGATCCACAACTTCTTGGACTGAATAGAAGAAACTGGTTCCCAGACCAAAAAAAAACCAATCAACAATATAAACATCATCAAAGACAACGTGCGAGTTTCAAGGAAAGTGGCTCACATAGAATCCCATTTTCTTTCACAAAAATGTGTTTTGAGTGCCTGCAAAAACGGTCGCCCCGCCTACGAAAAACTGTGTGGAATGTGTCAAAAACGTTACGACAAAACAAGGGAGATTGCCCACAATTTGAGAATTTCTGCAGATCGTGCAAAATTGTGCAGAAAATTCAGGGTTACTAAAAATTCAAAAGTTTTGGAAAATTCAGATATATAGTACCGGTCCATAAGAAATACAGTAACGTATTTTTAGTTAATTTTCGGCCAATTTGACCATTTTCAGGATTTTGGATCTCGGCTGTCTAGTTTCCGATTACGAAAGTTTTGGAAAATTTGAATCAGACCTAAATGGAATACATTGCATTCACAGAATTTTTTGAGAATATCTAGCTTTTCAGCTATATGCCGATGTCTAAATGACATCTGTTTTTTTTTTTTGCGTTTTCAGTACAATAGCGACAAGTCGGGTCAAATTGGAAACTTGAAAGCCGAGCTCCAAACTTCTGAAAATGGTTAAAATGTCTGGAAATCAATGCGTTGTTGTATATTTTATAGACCGGTACTGTAATTCTGTCTATAAGGGCTGTTTAGCCTCGAGAAAAAATTTAAAACTTTGCCAACTTTTTGGCATTTCAATGCCTAGTGCAGATGGCAAGATGGACAGCTACTGTAACCAGGAATGTAGAAAACGTTGATTTCGAATAACTTAAACGTAACGTACCTGGGTTTCACTACATTGGGAAACATCAGTTCCAGTAATCACAATAACATTTTTCTTTCTGTTTTGGTGACCGTATGAAATTATTACACAAAAGAAAACTCAGACACATGACACTGACCCAAAGAAGTGGCAGTTCGGTTGTCTATCATTAGAAATAAACTGTCTCTCAAAAAAGGACAAAATGAGCGAATCGGTGCCGTTTAAGAAGAGATAGTAAATTAGTGTGAGAAAGTATTTCGGAACGCTTCATTGAGTACAAAAGAGACAATGGATGAAAAAAGAGAAAAGGCGCGGCATTTAAAGGGTAATAAAAAAGGAACATGCATGGAGAACATAAAAAGGCGGCGGCTCATTTTCTTTGTCATGACTTAATTGAAAAGTTATGATGTGCGCGGAACGACAAAAAAGAGAAAAGAAAGGTACTAACAGACCTACGAAATTGTCACACCATTCTGGCGCCTAGTGCGCGGAAGAGACGCGGAAGACTTGTTAGATATGGAGGTATTGAAAAACGAAAAGGAAGATAGAAAATGTGAAAAAAGACAAAAAATGACGACGATTTGAGGCGATGAAAGTTTCTAAAAACAGAAGATGTGTGGCAAGATTGATGATAGGTATATGTGGTGGGAGAGGAGAAAAAGAAGGTGTTGTGTCGGGATGATGGAAAACGTGTATCCCAAAATAGATAATGCAAAGTATAGTATCTTTTGAACCCCTGACAACAATTCATAATCACTTGTTTTGAGAGAGGGGTAGGAAAAGAAGAGTTTTCGTTGAAATGTTGGATATTTGTTATTATTAGGTTCAGATTGGAATAGAAAGGATAATGGAGACAGTAGGATTGATAACATTTGAACAATAGAAAGAGACGATAAGTGGTTTTGATGAGCAATTAACAGAATGGTAACCTATCTATTTAAAAGATTTTGCAACGGAGTGCGTAGATGGCACTATCAGATCATTTCAATTCTGAATTCAATAGCAGTTAGTTTTTTAATGGTAGTGAGGAACTTCAAACTTCTCCTCTAACCCATTGGTGAGCATTTGAATTTCATTTGGATACCGTACACCTGTAATGGAAAAGCCCCTCACTCTGTCAAGTTTGAGCTAGTTTCTCTCGGCTCCTATGCAAATTTAAAAAAGTGTTTCTTGATAAAATATTCGTGAAATTATGGTGAAAATTTATCTGTTGACCATTTTTTGTATCTTCCACAGGAACCGAGATAAATTGGATCAATGATAGAAGTTAGGGGGACCATCTACTGTAGGTGACGGAAAGTTAGCCACAGTTGTATGGAATGATTTTGAAGACTGACCGATGCTCTCATCTATCTTCTGTCTTTATCAGAAAGTGGTCAAATACAAGAACCATTTCTTTAAAACATTTAAAAATTCTAATTTGGCTATGTGGAAATTCTAACACAAAATGCATGTTTTTTTTCAGAAACTTTACATTCGTCAAATTCCGGCCATCTACCAAAATATTAAACTTTCCAATGACCACTTATTTCCTGAAACTATTTTTTTTATTCACGCAGATGTGCTTTTGTCCCTTGTCGCATTCAACACGCGCAAACGGGTTCATACGTATATTCTTTGTGTTGACTGTAGAGATGATCTGATTAGCTGATAGGTGCACGGGCACGCCGATGAGCAAGAAAATAGAGAAAAATGGATAGAAGAAAAAACTGGCCTACGAATTGACATTTGTACAAGTATAGCCTATAGGCATTGTTTTTAGCCGCGTGGGAGGGAAAAGAAACAATGTGAGAAACGAGCAAAAAAAAAACGAAAAGGAACGATTGTGTGTGTGTTTTAGTTGGATGATAAATGGATGGGAAGTGCTCTGCAAAAGAATGCATGTGCAACTGAATGCCTGTCTGACTTAGGATAGGGGGCCAGTAGACAAATTGCAGAGTCAAACATCCCAAAAAACTTCACAAAGTTTTGCAAAGCTTGAAGGGTTCCGAATAGTACACCAGAGCTTCACTCTAGAATGACCGGCAGTTCTGGGGAAACTATGAATAGTTCGTAGACCGGGACTTCAAGCACTGAAAATAATATTGTTGGGCAAACACCCAAGCCTATTTGTTGGAGCTAAGGCCAAACATATGCCCACCGCATGGCCAATGACCCTAAAGTCGCATTTGTGCTCAATTGGCCTGAAATATTACTGGGTTCCCAACTTAATAGGCCAAAATGTTGTTTTTTGGTTTTACCTGAATTTGCAGGTTCTATTGGAGTTTAGAGGTCCCATAGGAGTTTACAGGTCCTCTGTGAATTTACCGGTTCTAAATTAATTTACAGGTCCCATGATGATTTACGGTTCCCATACACAGGTCTTATATAAGGACAAGAGGATGCCCTCTTCCTTGTAAACTCAGAGATAGAACCTTTTTTTGAAGCCGGTATGATTTTTGAAGGGTATATGGTAGGTAGAAAATATCTGAAGATTAATCCTAATGAAATGCTTGACATCACAAATAATTAGAAATGAGAAAAGGCGATGGTCTGAGTGGGTAAGAGCTCATCATCAAACTGTAAATTTGCTCTTTCTCATTGTCGTTTTTTTTTGCTGTCGAACAATGTTTAACGGACAGCTTATCTGAGTTTTCCTCCGACTCACTCCCAAAAAAATGAGCGATTTACAGGCGCCAGTATTCTCGTTTTTTTCTGTTTTTCGTTTTATGACTCGATAAATCTATTGATTTGATAGAAGAGAAAAAAAGTTCAGCTTTGATTTTTACAATTTTTTATTTGAAAACTGTTTATCGATAATTAGTTATAAACAATGAAGGAACTAGACGACAGAGAAAAACTAGAAATTCGAAGGAAAGAGAAAAGAAAATACCCGGATGAAAAAGGTGATGAGCCAAGAATGAAAACGGGGAAAAAATTAAAAGTCTTGGGACATTCGAAAGTAACCGAGATGACAGTGAGAGCTGTGGTATTATTAAAATGGAAAGGGAAATACTGAGCAATTTTTCGATTTTTTGTTTTGTACCGTTTTAAAGGAACAAATCCTGAAAGCAGGGCGGAAAAGAGGAAAGGTGGATGTACATGATAAGCAAAATTTACAGATTACACATTAAAGACTTCGTCTTGTAGACACGTTTCGTTGAATTGTGGGAGGGTCGGATTCGAACGGAGGAGGTGGAGATGAGCTGGGCGGAACATCTGGTGCTCCAGAAGATGTTAAACGAGGGGTTTCGATAGATGAAGCAGGTGGTGGAGGTGTACTATCAGTAGTTGATGTTGCTTGCATTTCGATTACTGTTGCTGCGGGTCTGAAAATTTTTAGAAATCGATAGGTACTGAATCAAAAAAAGTAAGCACAATTTGAGACTGTTGTAAATTCTGACTGACCCAATAACAGTATCCTTTGTAGCATCCTCGTACGATGGAAGCGGAGGAAGATTTTCCCTCCTAGCAGCTCTTGACACTGCATACGGCGGTGGAGGCTGAATCCCTGCTGCCACGAACGGCAATATCCGAATATCATCTCTACTTATCGTTGTAGTGCCTCCAGCTCCTCTTTCTGAAATTGTGAAATTATAAATGCTCGGAATTTCAAAAAAATTTACCTATCCCATAAATCTGCGCTGCTCTATTCATCTCTTCTCTCCGTGATGATGTGTATTGTGATTGTACCTGTGGAAGGTTTCTACAAATATTGATCGAGCAAGAAAACGATACCTGCATTCGATGTTTCATCAGTAAATACATTGAGACCACAAGTACAACTATCATAACTAGGCTGAACACGGTGCCAGAGATGTCCCGACTAAATAAATCGCCAGTCTGGAAGTTTTGGATTACTATGATGAACATTGAAAATAAACCTACATCTGCAGTAGACTGTGGTCCATATTTCGTATACCTCGAGTTTGATTTCGTTTTGTTAGTATCAATTTCACAATGATATCCAACAAAATTATGCGGACAACTACACCGGCCTCTGAACTCGTGACCTCCATTCAGGCATACAAGATCAGAGCATGTTTCTCCTTGATAGAAAGGCAAACAACTACAGTAGTTGTGTCCGTCGATTCCCACCAGAACCTGTCCCTGATCACAGAGCTTTTCACAGTACTCTCCAAAATATGGCTGTGGACACGAACACCTTCTTCCCATAGACTGACTACGGTATCCACCATTCTGACAAGCTGGAAGTTTTCGGCAATGCTGGTCTAGCTGTTGCTCTTCCGCATCTGAAAATCATTAACTTATAAATAAGTCGTCACATTAAAGTTACCTGGGCATTTACATTGAACTCCATAACTGATGAACGTGGAGTTGTAAAGAGCAGCGGCGGAAAGCAAGAAGGTGCCCTAGAAAAAATGAAAAGGAATCATAGGGATTTTTTTTCGAAAAAATTAATTGGATTTTTGAAAATTTTGCTCCCAGGAGTTTAAGAATAATGGATGCTAGAAAAACTGGAAAAAGAACCAAAAATTAATCAGGTAAATCCCAGTTTTCTGAATTAATTTTTAATCAGTCTGACTTTAGGCAGCGCTTCACCACACTTTTCTCGAATTCGTGAAAATATCTTCGAAATTCAAAAAATTTAATTTCCGTTTTTTCCCTGTATTATTTTATAATTTGTTTTCATGTATAACCAGCCTGTTTGCCGCGCTTCTGGTGCTTTAAACAGCTAGTTGGTCGTCCTTCTCAGCGATTTAACCTAATTATTTTACTGTTTGTCGCTCCGCTCCTCACTCCTTCATTTCCATTTTTCAAAAGTTCACGTAAAATTATATTTAATTTTCAAGCTTTTTAAAAAATTGTATTTTTTTCACGTAACGCAATAAATTATTAAATCAATAAATATCAGGTCAAATTCCACGTATTTTTGGAAAAAAATCAGTCCTCTGGGAAATCAAACTCTTCAAACTTTATTGTTGGATAATTTTCATAGGCACCTTCTCTCTGGTAAGAAGCTCTTTGCATTACGCTTGTTGTTGTTTCTTTTGCTTTTTTCTGTCGATTGGTCCGATGTGAAAAAGTACTAAAAGGCCCTAAGGGTCGCCATGTTTCCGGGTTCATGGCTAAGTGTTTTTCACTGAACGTCCCCGAGTAGCAAACGATTTTGTCAAAGATTAAAAAACTGAGACAACAATGAAAAGCGGTATGCAATGTGGCTTCTTACCGGGAAGAGGAGGAGCTTTTGAAAATTAACTGACAATGGTCTACGAAAAGAGGGGTTTTCGGCTGACTTGCTTTTTTTGTTAGGGAGTGGGGGACCCCTCCCTCCACCACTTATGGGTTTTAGAAGGTGATCCCATTGGAAAATAAACCTTGTTTCCCTTTCATGTACTGAGCCTCTACGTGGCGAAAGGGATCAACAGACTTTCTAGTCTGGCTAATCAGTACACTTTTCGTAACTTTTTATTTCCATAATCTTCCATATATTTCAACAAAAAAATTGACTCTTTGAAAGCCCTTTTTACATGTTTTTTTCTAAACGTCCAAATATAATTTAATTCTTCAAAAATCCCTTTTTATCTCATTTTAAAGTTGAAAGGGATCAACAGACGAAAGCCTGGCTAATCAGTACACTATTGAAACTTTTATTTTTCATTATTTTTATCATTCTTATTTTTCATAAACACCGTATTTTTCAGTTGCTTTTCACCATTTTCAGGTGTCTGGAGCTCGACTGTCAAGTTAACGATCACTTTGAAGATTTCTGAAAGGTGTAAAACACACCTAAATTGAAAACTTTGCATCCATAGAATTTTTTAAAATTTCCAGTTTTTCAGCTATGGGCCGATTTCTGGAAGGCTCCTGTTTTTTGCCAGTGGAAAACTGAAAATGTGAAAAAAACAGGTGACTTTCAGGAATTGGGAATCAGCTGAAAAACTAGAAAATTTCCGATTCTGTGAATGCAAAGTTTACAAACTAGGTCTATTTCAAAGCCTCCAAAACTTTCGGGGGGTCTGTTTAAGAGCCTCAAAAAAATAGTGATCGGAAACTTGACAGTCGAGCTCCAGACCACTGAAAATGGTCAAAATGGCCAAAAATCAACTGAAAATATGTTTTTGTTTATCTTAATGACCCCTACTGTACCAACTAACGGCCAGAAGTTGCCGGCAATGCCCGAGATAAAACTATAGAATCTACTTCCCAGTTCCCTTGATCGGTCAAACAAAAAAGTCTTGTGATGCATATTCTGTGTAATATTAAAAAGAACCAAAGTTACTACAATCAAGAGATCAATATAAAAAGAACATTACATACCTGGAACACTCGACAATGATCATCTTGTTCCGTTCCAACGAGCTTCTCATCCACTGCGTAGTCTGATGCAGTTTCAGTCCAATTGCTCACCAATTGTGGATTCTCTGCAACTGGAGTTCCCCTCCGACAACATGTTATTTTATATGTTCTGGATAACCAAAGAGGTCCTAGAAAATCGACACCATGTTGTGGTTTTGATGGAGGTGTTCGTCTGGTTGGGAGGAAGTCTGCTGAAAAAATTTTAATTCTCAATTCATAGATTAACCCCCTATGTTTACAGAGACAGTTTATAAACGGTTTGATTCAAAGATTCTCATCGCCTTGATCAGTCACATGTGAATAATACTTGCCGTTTTTCGAATTAGGGGTATTGTATAAAATTCTGAGAAAAAAAAAGAAAAATTATGTGTGTATGTTGTCTATCTTTCTGCAAGAAGAACTGGTCCTATTGTGCGAATCGCCCTCGGCTTGCCCTCTTTGTGATTGCGTGAGGGGGTATGTCTCTCTCGGAAGGCGCATCTCGGGGCGCAATCGTTGCGCAACCGTGATTCACAAAAAGCAGAATAAGATTAATATAGATGGAAGTTTGCGCATTGAACTACATTCAAGCCGGAATATTCATATGTATGAAGATGGAGATGAGTGGTTGTTGATGATTTACAAAAGTATGTGAGATCCGCTTGAATTTTCTTGAATTGAGATTTCAGAAGAAGGTACCGTATTTTCTCTAATAAAAGCCTGAACTTATTGGAGCTCAATTATCTCGGTTCCTATAAGTGATATCAGAAATCTGTCAATTGATAAAATAGTGGTTATATTATGATAAATAAATTATGCGTTGAAAAAATGTTGATATCTTTTGAAGGAATCGCGATAATTGAGCTAGTAGTTGACGGTTTGGGTGGGCTTATATTTGAGGGAATACGGTATTTTTCGTGTCTCTTCTATGTAATATTTAACTGAATTCTGAAAAAATTTCAGTGGAAAATGAACACCGGAGTGCCGAAACTTTCTGACTAAAGCTTCAAAGTGAACGTCATCATTAAAAATCCTTCTTTGTACAAATTTTCTAACTTCACTAGATTTAGAGATGATCATATTTTAATACCTTGAATTACCCATTTTCAAACTGTATTGAGCCCTCCGGAATGCTTTCTAGAAGCAGTTACAGATTGACCGACGTTTCCTTTAGAATACCACCACTAACTCACCAGAAGTAGCATTTTCGGTTTCAGCTGCGGCAATTAAAGTGATCGGAATCAAAGAATATAAAAGTAGCGAATTGATCATCGAGTCTCACATATGCACATACGTTTACTGTACTTTTGTCAAATTGAAACCTAGCTGAAAATCACAACAGGATATACGACTTACTTTCAGACGGCGAAAGTGCGAACAAGAAGAAAAGAGGAAAGGGTGTCAGGCAAACAGTGCTAATAAGCGAAAGTGAACTAGATGATACAAGCTGTAATGAAAGGGGGGAAAATAGCATGGGAGATGAAGAGACGCAGAACACGGAAAAGAATGGGCGCGGAAGAGATGAGAGAAAATGTGGTATTGGGTTTCGAGAATGTACTTGTTTTTCGGTTCGAGGTAGTTTGCAATAGGTACAACAACAGAATGTACAGTTTCAGTCGAAATGGAAGAAAAGGCATGCAGCTGGAAATTAGGTCGATAATTAGGAAAAGGCGTAACCCAAGAATAAAGAGCAAGGAGACAATGGTTGGGTAGTGAACTGTAAAAATTTTGAACCTATAATTTATAGTCTATAATGGCTTTTTTTTTTGAAAATATCAGAAAGGTACTGAAAAAATAAAAGTCACTGCAGAAGTTATTCCATTTACCGTATATCCTCTAATAGGAGCCCACTCAAACCATCAACTTTGAGCTCAATTATCTCGATTCCTGTGGAAGATCTAAAAATTTTGTCAACTGATAAAATATTCATCATAATATCACCACTATTTTATCAATTGAAAAATTTTGATATCTTTGGAAGGAATCAAGATAATTGAGCTCAAAATTTGGGCGGGGCTTCTATTAGAGAAAGTACGGTAGCTTCTAAAATTTACGGTTTCAAAATTTGTTGTTTTCCAGACACACCTGGTTTAATACTCTGAAGTCATATCAAGAAATCGGAAGTTCCCATCTGTGTTCTGATACCATGACACAACAAAAAAAGAGAATGATAGTTCGACGATATATTGAACATGCCATCAATCATCCACTAATCGATGTTTTGTAACAAAATCTGTTTGATAAACAAAAAGGAAAGTACCTAACTAAGCCTTGGGATGAAAGTGTAACATGGGAGAGAGTGAGATAATATGACAAATGTTATAATCATATTTGGAAATGACCATATTAAAAAACAGTCCGAAGACCGCAGAGATAGAAAGAAAAAAAGAGAAGCCAAATCAAAGAGAAAAAGAAGAACAACGAGTTTTTAAGAAAGCACGAAAAGGCGATTTCGAAGAATCATAGACGGGGTTTAAAGCAAGGGGCATCGCACCGATGGTTTCGGTTTATTATCGGATTTGGTCACCGCCATCGGTCATTTTTTTGTGAAAAGGGCGCTCCACCGGAACGCATTGACACCGGACTATCTTCCTATTTTTTCGAGATTCAATGAAACTTTTTGGGTTAAGGACATCCGATATATAGATTCTTTTTTTCTGAAAGTTCCTTTTTGTGTAAAACTTTTAAAAACCTTCAAGAAGGAAAGACTCAAATGAGAAAAAAAACAAACGAATTCGTCAAGTTGAAATGTTTACGACCGGAACACAGTTTACATTTTCTTAATGTATGGTAATACTTATTCAAATCTGTTTGACCTTAACCCTCTGATCATTTTTCTAGGAACCGAGGGAACCGTCGTAATACCAAAAGAGAGGAGACTTGAAGGTATATATTAGGGCAGTACATTGAATATATTGAAAACAAATAATATTGGATTACACAAGAGAGGTCCCCCTCCAAACCCTTATATGAAGGTTTTGTTCTTTCTCAATTGGATACTTGTGCATAGATGAAATGAGCAAATCCTTCGCATGGAAGTTTTATGGGAGAAGGGCAAACCGGTGGCATTGGGGGAATGGGACAGAGTGGGCCCCCAAACACTAGATGCACATGCTTAAAAAGTTTGATGTAGGTGTTTGAGAGCGAGGTTGGAAGAGCTTTTTGTTTCAAAAAGTTGGAGAGAGAGAGCACATTTGTGTTTGCTCTTTTTTATATTGTTGAATGTATTATGATGTTAAAATGTTTTAGATATATAAGTTCATACCGCGAAAAAGCTACCGTAAAACCTGTAATAGAAGGAAACTTTTAACTTTGAGCCAACCTATCTCGGTTCATGTTGAAGATATAATAAATTGGTCAACTGAGAAAAGGGTTTATCATAATATCACAAACATTTTATCAGTTGACAACTTTTCACAGAAACCGATATCAATTGGTTCAGAGCTAACAGTTAAGGGGTCCGTCTACTTTACGGTATTCGTAATTCAAGAAGGTTTCTAGGTATTGTATATTCATCCGAATTTTTTTAGATGTTATACTAGGGATCTCGTGAAAACAATAAGGAAATTGTCGATCATCAGGACTTCTTCACATGAAAACTAAACAATTGATCTCACAAGGAACTCAAAAAAAGAGCACAAAGAATGAAAGAGTCTAGTCGTATCCTGATCCGGTGACCATACAGGGTTAGGCATCACCGAACAGGATGGATAGACAGAGAGATCAGATCTCGGTGTGCCAAATCTGCCCACTGAGCTCTCATGAGATCTCTGTGGCAAATTGAAATGAATAGCTTTTGCTCGGGGGAAGGGCGTGAGCCGCTGTTTGCACCTATTGCGCGCATCTTGACGGGCTCCGCGTCGGGGTGGTGGACTGGCATGTTCGGTTGGAGCGAGAAAAACGAAAAATGTTTCGGGAAGTGATAAGTGCTTGTGTTGTAGTCCACTCATCTTTTGGTTCCGTAGGTGACAGAATTAAAAGAATGGTAGAGGTAGATTCCGGACAAAAAGAGAGAAAAGGGTTTTCAGGAAAAAAGGATACGAGACAGGCGGCGCCAGATTCATAATTACATACAGATGGCCAGAAAAAGGAGTCAGAAGAGGAGGAAACAATAAAGAGAAGAAGAAGAATGTGTTCGTGTCGGTTGGGAGAGGACAGAAAAGATAAATAAACATAATTGTAGTAGAACAACAAAATGAAAAATCTCTTATGTAGACGACAAATGTACTGCTCACTAATAACTGCAATATGTTTCCTTTGAAAATGTTTCTGATTGGTTTCAGATTTTCAATGATTCATGTGAGGATTTTAAGTCACAAAAAGATTCAGGAGCATTGTACTAGTTAACAGTTTTTTTTACAGAAACAAGCAGACAGAAAGAAGTTTACAGAAAGAAATCAAGCGAGTTCAAAGTAAAAGTAAGGAGGTGTCAGTCTGTTAGAACGTTGTCAAGTTCGAGTCCATATATCTCATTTCCTGAGAAAGATATCCAAAAGTGGTCAACTGATAAAATCTTCCTTATATATAAAACGCTACACGCGTCTGTCCGTCCTCATGTCAGGCTGTGGACTTTTGAAAAACTTGAAAAATAAATATAGATTTACGTGACCCTTCAAGAAAAAGTGAAGAGCTAAGCTACGAACCAGTAAAAAACTAGATTGAATCGCGCCGAAGGCGCTCCTGCTTGCTGGTGATTGTAATAATACTGAAAGTATTTTGCCAGTTGACTATTTTCTCATAACTTTGACAGGAAATGAGATATGTGCGATCAAAGTTGGCGTGTTGGGTGGCTTTCTATTACAACGCTTACGGTATCCTATTGAATTGAGAGCTTGATATACTCAAGTAAATGATCTAGACGATCCGATTTTTTCTTTCAAATTGAACTTTTTTCGGTTATAGTGATATCCGGTTACAATTTGACACGTTTGTGCCATCGTGTTCTTCTTTATTCATCTTAGGCTGCAGTACTCTTTTTGATCCGATTAGTACTGTGCAACTATCGGAAAAAAGTGGGCGGAGCTTGCCGTCAAACGGTGACGCAAAGCGATGCGCGCACACGCGGTAAAACGGAAAGGAGAAAGAAGAAAAACCAAGTATGCTGCAGCACTTTTTTGTGTTTTGTTAGGTTGGGCGCCGCGGACGGTTTTCATTTTCGTTTTTTCTTCATTTGCCTACTACTAGCCTACTGCTGTCAATGTCAATTGTTTTGTGATCGAATTGGGAGGAAAATGGGGAAACGATGAGGAACAGAAGGTTGAAGTTGATGAGGTGGAAGACTGTATGGGAATGGTTTAGGTCAATGCAATGCCCACTGAATCGAGACCACATTTTGATATATTTTAAAAGAAATGAGATATACGGGCTCAAAGTAGACGGGATTTTCTATAAGAGTGTTTACGGTAATTGGTATGGAGGGGGTTCAAATTCTGATGAGGAATATATTTCTGTCTGAAATAAAAACTGCAGAGTGGGCGGGTCATACTTAGAAATTATGAAGTTTCACAATACAGACGTATGATAAATACGAGGAACAAAAATGATTGAGGAAGTCTAGGAGCTGGAAACAGGTGGGTGGAAAGACAGAGTTCCGACAAATTTGAATTCCCAATAAAATGATATGAAAATTCTGTTTTTGTTTCTTATGAATTCTGAACATAACAGAGACAATTGATAAGGGTGATCATCCAAAACAGTCGGACAGAAAAAAGTACACAAAAAAAAGACAAGAAAGAGGAAGGAGAAGCGAGAAAGCGATGATCTGAACGCCGACAAAGGAGAGAAAAGATGAAAAAAGAAGAAGTTCGTCACTTCACGAACGCAGAAAAAAGGTGATTAGACCTCATCGAAAACGGTTTTCCTTTTTCTCGATTCAATTAGCGGTCTCTCTTTTTCTTTGCGAACAAGGATGCGTATTATATATGATATTATGTAGGTTCCCTCTTGAACCCTGGGAATATAAACACACTCTGATAGAACACAAGTGATTTGCATAACGGGAAAACGGACGAGGATACGAAAAATGAATTGAAATTTGAAAAAACCGTATAGGTGTCTCTGTTTCCTCAGTTCTCTTCAACCGTGGTATTTCGTATTTGGCAACCCAAATAGTAGTGAAAGATCACGCCAACTATGTACACACTCCTCAAACACACACATGACTGTAGAATTTATGAAAATTTCTGGCTGAATCGTCGATTCGACTGCTGATCTGACTGACGCGTACGAACGAACTGTTCGATGACAAAAACAACATTACTTTCAGACAGAGA